ATTTCTTCAGGATTATACGCCTTAAAAAGAATGTCATTTTTATGTAATCTAGAAACACTAAAATGTATTTATTTTGCTCATATACACTCACATCTGTCATATGGTCTAGCAATCTATGGGGGCACTAGTGCACAAAACCTAGATAAAATACTTAAACTTCAAAAAAAGGCTTTGCGAATAATGTTAAACCTGGAACCTAAAACATCTGTAAGAAACCACTTTTCACAATTAGATATACTAACTGTCTATGACCAGTATATTTTAGAATGCATTATCTCTGCCAAAAATAACATTCATAAGTATGTGTTTCGCAAAGATATACACGTATATAACACAAGAAACAGAGATCAAATAGATATACCCCGGCATAACCTCACTTTTTTCTCAAAGAAAGCAACACAAATCGGATGTAAATTTCTTAATAAATTACCATCAAATCTGAAAACTAATATACACACAAAGGGATTTAGGAAATTAGTAAGAAAATATCTCCAAGATAAAACTTGTTATTCTATAGAAGATTTCTTTTTATAGCTCTATTAATCCATCCTATAATCAAGCTTATTTGCTACCAGCAAACTAGAGCTGGTTGTAGGTATATATTTACAAAAACGATTTCAATGATAAAGAAGAAAAAAATACAAATTGCAAGATCTAGTGACTGGTGAGCGAATTTAATAAATTTGTCTTTAGCCTTTTGTTATGTAGGACTAACTAACCAAAAGAGTAAAAAATGTTTTAACTACATTCATAAATACACAGCATAATAAAGGATTGTATTGCATAGATTTAGCCATGTATGTAAATAAAATAATGTTAAAATAAGAAACATAATGTACTTGTTAGTTCTTATTTCTGTGACTCTATTCATGTATGTATGTACAGTTTGAATAAAGATGATTTGATTTGATTTGATTTGATTTGATGGGGGTTACAGCCTAAACTTATGCACTGGCTGTATGTATCTGTTGTTCGACCCGCCCTTACATATGGTTCGCTTGTGTGGTGGCCAAAGATGGAATCAACTATAGCTTTAGCAGCTGAAGCTTTAGCAGGAGTTCAGAGGCTTGCTCTTATTATGATAACTGGGGCAGTAAGTAGCTGTCCTGGAGCGGCACTTGACTGTCTGCTTGACATGCTACCTATTGACATTTATATTAAGGTGGTAGCAAGTAAAACAGCCCAACGCCTTAGATGCGAAAACTTATGGATAGCCTCAGGAAACAATAAAGGGCACTCCAAAATTGTTCAGGTGGTACATAATGATGAATTGGACTTACCTTCAGATCACATGTCCAAAAAATACTCCTTTGGAAAGCCTTTCAAAGTACTAATACCAGATAGGAAGGATTGGTCTGGCGGAAAAGGACCCATACCCACAGGTGACTTAGAATGCTATACTGATGGTTCTAAGATCAAAAATGGGGGCACTGGAGCAGGTGTGCATTGGATGAATGGAGGCACTGGTATTTGTCTTCCAATGGGGGTGTACCCAACTGTCTTTCAAGCGGAGGTCACTGCCATTCTAGTTTGTGCTCAAGAACATCTTAACAAAGATATCAGAGACAAAACAATCAATATCTTTACTGATAGTCAAGCGACCTTAAAAGCATTAAACTCTTACGAATTCAACTCCAGGCTCGTGTGGGATTGTCTTGCTTCTGTGTCTGAGTTGGGTAGGAGAAATGACCTTACGCTTTGCTGGGTACCAGGACACTCAGGCATTAAAGGAAATGAAGCTGCAGACAGATTGGCAAATACTGCCTCTGCGACATCATTGTTAGGCCCACAACTCTTCTGTGGCATCTCACGAAACAGTGTATGTTCTGCGATTGCGTAATGGGCCAAGGAAAAGCATCGCAAACGCTGGGTCGATGTTCCCCTTCTTAGGGTCAGCAAGCTTACTCTGTTTAGGCCTTCCAAAAAGGTTGCCTGTGACCTCTTGAGACTAGACAGACGAAGAATTAAATTAATTGTTGAACTGATAACTGGTCATGGAAGATTCAGGAAACATCTACAACGGATGGGCTTATATGATGGTGAACCGATCTGTAGGTACTGTGGTAGGTCAGAAGAGACAGCTGATCACTTACTCTTTGATTGTAACGAGCTCTCTGACGCTAGATCGATAACTCTTGGAAATATGGCTAGAGGTAGATATCTTCCTGAGGATGAACTAATTGGGAAGCTACAGGCATTCATTGGGCGCCTCAACTTGTAGGTCAACAAGAAAGCAATTAAGTATCTGGGGTGCGCAATAATTCGATTTCGGATGAAGTGCTTTAAGGTCTCGACCTGCCCCTGTTAGATAAGATAAGATAAAGACTCATGTTAAACATTGCAAATTTTATGTCTGTCTTAAATTGTACAGGTATCATCAAATTGGAATTTGTTTGTTTCGAAACATCAAAAATATTTGTCGAAATACCCCTGGTAAGTTTGGATTCAATATGTTCAGCCGTTATTGAGTTAATTGATTACATAGTTTGCATAAGTTCCGATCTCAAAGAGCTTCGCTCGCTCCGCTCAATCAATTAGAGAGGTAATTTTCGGTATTTCCAAGCAAGCATACACTGTTAACATACCGTAAAAGCCTGCTAAAACGGCATCCAAGGGTCCGGCACTTTTAATAATCCTGCATCGGACTCAAAGGTCTAACACATTTTAAAAATCCTGTCTTAAGCCATATTCCTGTGTTTATCAGAGTCGAGGGTGATCGGTAGAGGTCGGTAGTGATTGGTAGAGTGGGAAGCGAATGGTAGATGTCGGAAGGGATTAGCACACGCAGGAAGCGATCGGCAAAAGCTCTAAAATTAGCGGCAATTTCGCTAGTCCCACAGTAAAGGCTGTTTTAAAAAGATATTCAGTAACCTGGCACTGCCAAAGTCCGGATTAGCGAGTGTCTACTGTTGAATAAGAGAGGAGGAAAAGATACTAAGTTTTTATATGAGGTTCTTTTAGCTATTTAGAGGTAAAAATTTAGTGTACTAGACAACGCTGGCATTTAAAAATATTGACTTCAGTTTATAGAAAAAGTAGGACAATGGATGGACCAATGACAAAATCTTATGTGGCTAAACACCACTAACATCACCTTAAAGCTAAAAATATGTTTGAGGAAAAAACTACAGTAGACTCCCTCTTATACAGACACCTTTTAACCGGACATCGGTTTAACCAGACTACACTCGGTAGAAATGACAACTCTCAACCGGACAATTTTTATCAGCACATCGGTTTAACCGGACTAGATCGGCAGGAAGTGGGCGGTACTGAAACGTCTTTTCTCGTGGGAAAGATTTGAGACCAGTGATCACGTGTCTAAATACGCTCTTCTAAATTTAAGTCAAATACTGTACACAGTAAGCATTTAAACGGTCCGTATTAACGAGTTTTTGGGGACGTCGGTTTAAAACCGTTATCCGGACTGGCCTCGGTCCTGAGGAGTCCAAATAAGAGGAAGTCTACTGTATTAAAAAATAACCTTGGGTTTTATAATCAAAAGTCAGCCCTCAGCATCGAACAAATCCGATTGCCGCGCGTGATTGGCTTTCCAATTTCGGTCTGACAAATAGCAAATAACGTGCGAGGATGTCCTACTTTACAACGAGAGTCGACGTAGTTTGCTAAACACCAACAGATAGCAGCAATGCTTGTAACGTAGCCGGTCCCATTGGAATTGTATTGCCAAATGGAGGGAAAAAGACGGGACAAAAGTAGAATTTTGAGATTGCCAGACGGGGATTTTACAAGGAAATTTACTACCAACCTACACCACAACAAAATACAGTATACTATCAAGCAGTGCTGTGCGAGGTTTCAAGGTTCTAGCTCTAATCCTGGCTTAAAAATAAATCATTTCGTACTGCATTGCAGTTTTGGAGCGATCGCACCCACCAGGATGGCATTAGGGTTCCGTATGGGAGCGATCGCTCCCATGCCGCCGCGAACGTGTTAAAGCAGGAATGTTTATTCCACCACCATTTGTTTTAACTAGGCTCTAGCCCAAATTGTTTTTCTTTTCACATTACTTCAGGCTAGGCCGAGAGGTTACGGCATTATCACACAAGTAAAATCCATTGGTGATTGGCAGAATTTGAACCCAAGACCCTGGGGACCGAAGTCCTGTGCTCCACCGCTAGACCAGCTCCCTTCCCATTTATCCACCACAAGTATATCACCACCACCACCAAACAATTAATAAAGAACCACCCTTAAAAACTCACTCTAACATTTCTTACATTTGCAATCTTCTTAAAAAGTCTTTAGCTGTTATGGCACTAAAAGGTCGAAAAGAAATATTAATACAATAAATGCTAAAAATGTAATAAATCAAAAAAGTAAATAAGTACAATGGTATAATGCTCCTAAAATGAAGGAAAACTTAATTTTGAGTAGTAGAGGTATGCAAGCCTGAGATATTTTATTGAGCTGAGCTTTCAATCCTCATCCTTTTTTAGGCTAAGCTTTTGTGTATAATGAATGTGTAATAATGCCTTATAGCCTTCAGTAGAGCTCCAACTATCAAAGTTAATTGAGACCGAATCACATTCAGAAAATTGAAAATAATTCGAGTTGAGGTTATCGAGGATAATCAACGATTCAGCTAAGAGTTCTACTGTCCGAAGTTGACTTGTGACAAGTCTTATTTTCAAAATGCAATTCAATGTTATGACGTAGAGTTTAAGATAAATTCTGTTTGTTTTGTTGAATTGAAAAGAAACATTCTCTGAGGTTAGTATGGTCATTACTAAGAATATAAATTTATAAATTATTATAATTCATTGTGATAGCCCCGAATTTGTAATAATGGGTTTTGATTACCTAACATGCAAGACAGCCTGACAGGTAATAAAAACCCATTTAGAATATAAATTAAACGTAACAATAGTATTTAAGTTATTTAAATTATATACAAGGTGGAGGCAAGGTATTGAACATTAGGTTAGGTTAGGTTAGGGAAACATTAGGGAAACAAGATTTATTAAGTTGGTCCTAACCTGTTGATGACCAAATGAAGCTTTGATGGCTTGCTCTTGGCACTCGTAGATGGGATTGTCTGATGGGAGATCAGGGCTACGTAAAGCAGTGCTACCGGGCTCCTTCTTGCTGCGTCTCTGCGACAAATATAAATCGGTAATACACAACAGGAGTTTAACAACAAATAATTATTCATACAACTCTGCTAAGTATAGTAACAACTTATTGGTAGCACCACCTTTTGCTCAGTTTCACTCTAAAAAAATGTGAAATTCACAAACAAGAAAACCTTGTAGGAGGATTTTGAGAAAAGAGCAAAAAATACAACATTTTAGTTCATGGAGGGTTACACTTTACTTTATTTCAATTTTATTTATGAGGTGAAATATTGTTAAATATAATTTTTGAAAGTTTGTACTTATTTTATGATCAATCTGGCACATAAGGGATCATGATTCTGTCAGATTAAAGAATACAATATCAATCTATTTATATGGGCAAATATCTATGATGAAGAACGCTCTGGTCGTCCTTGGAGAGGCTTTGGCTTGGAAATTGAGGAGGAGGTTGAATGCCATTATTCCATGAACTTTTTCTTAGATTCAGGTGTGATGTCATGACTTCGCTGGCGCTTTGGAGTCTAGCCCGCTCTGTAATTATTAGAAGTACCTGATTGTTTTTTTTTTGTTATCAAACCTTCTCAATTTTTTCTAATCAAACATCATACGACTCACTCCCACGCACGGGTTATCCCATGAGGGATTAATTTCATTTATTTTTAGTTATAAATTTTAAAACCTATTTCTATTGCATATATTACATTTTGTAAATATTGTCTATTTTATTTTTATACGAAATAAAGGATTTTGATTTGATATGAGATAACTATATTTTGTCTCCAGTAACAATTTAACTCAAATTTCATACATTTATTCCTCGCAACGCAACACATCAATAAATTCAAAACACTCGCTATCCTATTTCTTTTTGGTCTTCTCTGAAAAGTCTCAATAGTCAATACTACCAAAAATATTTCCTCCAAAATAGACTTTTTTTGGCCATTTTCAACCTCATCCATTTTCGCACTTACCCTTACTCATTGCACTAGTGTCATAAAGTTGAATCATGTGGTGATAAATGTCGGCATCGGATATGTTTCTTGTATTAAAAAAAACTTATCAATGACCTTATCTTGCATGCAGCAGAAGATTCAATAGATTTTTTAAATTTTATAGACACACGGCAAAGCGTATGTACATCAGCTACAGAGTTACAAGTGGCATGATTCTGTTCACAAATGATGCCAGTAAGCAGCAAGCCGCCTCATTGCGACGCACAAACGGACTACGTAACTTACTTACTTATTACTTCCTTCCGGTGTCCTCGCCACAATCGTTTGATCGGGGAGTCGTCAACTTTCTTCCTTTTTCAGTGTTTTCTATGTTCAGGTTTCGTGTGTTTATGTTTTATGTTTTGTGTATGTGTGCTCCTCTATGTATTCTTTTATTGAGTCGTACATAACTTATCGTAAGTACATGTACAGTGAAACTGAGCATAAGGTGAATCAAGAATCAAGAATCAAGAACTTTATCAAGAATCAAGAACTTTATTGTCATTGACCTTTTACAAGGAATAGACATAGTCAAAACTAAAACTATAAAAACTATAAAAAATACAGTAGTGGGTTCTATATTAAAAATCAATATCAACATTAGAAAGTAAATATTCTGTTATACAATAAAATGGATTTTTGATGAGCCACTCAAACATTTTTGACTTAAACCTATTAAAAGGAACCAGTTTGGCTGCCAGACCTAATTTATTAAAAAACCGTATACAATTTATTTTATGGCAGTTATGTGTTTTGGCCAATCTATGGGCAGGGATTTCTAGATTGGATTTGCCTCTTGTATTGTAAGAGTGTATACTATCTCTACAAGTGAATTGATGTAGATTAGCTTTAGTGTAGAGGAGTATGTGAAAAATATACAAATTTACTACAGTCAAAATTTTAAGGTTTATAAAAAGAAGTCTACAGCTATCCACAGGGCCAACCCCACAGATTGTTCGTATAACTTTTTTTTGCAATAAAAGAATTTCATGGGTGTGGGGGGAGTGTCCCCAAAGTATAATCCCGTAAGAAATATGCGATTGAAAAAAACCAAAATAAGTAGTCTGAAGGTATTCATTACTAACAAAATCTCTGAGTTTCCAAATTAGATAATTTACTCTGGAAATTTTTTTACATGTGATTTCTATGTGTTCTTGCCAATTTAATTTTGAATCAATTTGGAATCCTAACAATTTTACTGATTTTAATTCATTATCAAGTGGGGATAGACTCAAAAGAATCCTCTGTGTTTTTTCTTGATTACACATCAATTTATTTGAGGAAAACCAAATTAGTGCTGACGTTATTGATTCATTAGTAATTAAATCAAGCTCATGGATATCCCTATGTGTTGCAATCAAAGTTGTGTCATCAGCATACACAACAGTGTCTACATCAACATTCTTCGGCAGGTCGTTTATGGAGATTAAAAACAAGAAGGGTCTCAAAACTGAGCCCTGTGGAACACCTACTTCAACCAATCTTAAGTCAGAATGACTGCCTCCAACAGATACATACTGTTTTCTATTGGTTAAATAGGATCTTAAAATGTTTAAAGTTTCACCTGTAATACCGTAAAATTCAAGTTTTTTGAATAAAATATTAAAAGGTACAGAGTCAAATGCTTTTGTAAGATCAAATAAAGTTAATGAAACAGTTTCTTTATTTTCAAATGCATTTAAAGATTTATTAACTACTTCTAAGACAGCTGCAGTTGTTGATTTACCCTCACGGAATCCAAACTGTGAATTTGTCAATAAATTGTTGTTTTCAAAATATTCATTAATTTGTTTATGCATGAGACATTCAAAAATTTTGGAAAAGATTGGCACTATTGAAATAGGACGATAATTACTAGGAAGATTTTTATCGCCTTTTTTATATACTGGAGTAATTTTAGAAATTTTGAGAAGGTCAGAGAAATAACCAATTTTCAGACATTGATTAATACAAAAAGCCAGAGGTTCACTTATGAAATGAATTATTTGTTTGATGCTGTAATTTGAAAACCAGTAATGATCCATAGTTTTTGAATTGGAAAAGTTAGCTACAACATTGTTAACCTCTTGCCATGATACCTCCCTCCATTGGAAATGTAATTGTCCTATAGGGGGAGTCCCCAACAACTCATGCGCAGGTGTGTTGGTGAGAGGAATTTTGTTTTCTAGCTCATTAACACATTCAATAAAATAGTTATTTAGATTATCAGCATCCAAAACCTCAGATTTAGTTGATGTAGGAGAAAATTCATGTGATATAACTTCCCAAGCAGGTGGTGCTACCAATAAGTTGTTACTATACTTAGCAAAGTCGTAAGTACATAACTATATGTAGGAACCTTAAAAAACAACCCCTTGTAAAAGATATGATAACATAATGATAACAAAACAGTCAACTTACAGCTCGCTCATCATTGATGACTTTCATGATTCGTTCAATCATGAAGAAGACCCAAATTCCAGACCACATCATGAGAGATATCCTCAAATAACTGTGCCCCACGTCCCCATCCATCAGGTTCAAAGCCTGCAATTGAACAAAGTAGACAATCAACAATTAATCAAACAATCTTTTACCGGACAGAGCACAACTAATCAATTACTAAACGAAAATTAATCTGAGATTCTTGCCTCTGGGTCTTTTTACACCAGTAAAAAGGTTAATTACCTGGTTCACTGACAATGATATGATTTTTTTCTGGCGACCAAGATCATGAGTAATGACTTAAATGATGGATACATGTCGAGTTCACCTATCAGTATTACAATTTGGCCAAATTTTCATTGGATGTTTTCACCCTTAAAGGCGCGTGCGGGGGTATACATACCCCTACGTATGGTAATTTTGTCATAATTTTACTAGTATGGTGGCAACCCTGGTGAGCATAACAGTAGCTGCCTAAACAAGCATAAAATGCTATCATCTGGCTGCAGGGTTGTTAGTCTAGACCGAGTCATTGACCTCTTATCACCACCCTGGGTCTAGCATACCCCCACGCGCATGTTTTTGTTACCAGTAGCGTGTTCATTGGGGGGTCTAGTGTACCCCTGTGCGTGTAGTAGTGTCTCAGTTTTATCATCATAATTAGTATAAATAACTTTATAACTTTATTATTTATAGTTTTGATGGTATTGAAAGTTTGCCAAAAAACTTAGTAGGCCTATCTGTAAACCAATTAGATGGAAATGTCCAACCATAGAGTCCATTGATCTAGCCTTCTCGTAAAAAGGCGCAGTGCACCGTCTGCCTTGGTACAAAAGACACCAAGACCAAATTTAGTGTAAAACCTTAAAAAAACTAATGTGCTAGGGGCAAAATGTAAAATATTTGTGAAGTGTGTTTAAAATGACTTCTAAACTAACCACTGGACGAGGATTTTTAAAGAAACACACATTACCAAAGAAAGTTTTTAATTTCTTTTACTTTTTCTTAAGTATTTTCTACTAACCGGGAAATGTATTAATTCATTAAATATTTACTGCTTCCATAGTTTTTTACAAGTATTATACTTTTGTAAAATAAAAATAATATTTGTTTGCAGTAAAAACTTGTTTAGCTACGATTTTCCCATCTTCAACACCATAATACATTTGTTTCAAAGTGTATAGGCCAATTGACATTTGATTGACCACCATGCTACATGCTACATGCTCATTTTAACTCAAATTCTTGTCAAATATTAATCCAAGGAATTTTGTGTGGTTTACATAAATAATTTTTAAACCATCTAGACGAATGTGTGGTTGTAATTTTAATTTAGTCTGTTTTGTATTGAATGATAAAAAAAATATTTATTGGAATTAATTAACAGATTTTTACTGCTTGAAAATTTACCAAGTGACAAAAGATTTTAAAATGTTCAATTAAGCTCAATTTTTTCCTGGGATTCCACTGTAACTATAATATTGGTATCATCAGTATACAGTCATACAGAACCTCCTGCTTTTATAGCTCGTTGTCGTTGTCTTATCCATTACATTCCAAAGCAAGTCGAGCCAACTATCTGTGCGACGGACGATTCCTGTTGCCTAGATAATTTTCCAATTTACTGGAATTTTTTACCATAGTTTCAGCTAATCTGGGTTTTGGTTACATGGGGTGAGGTTAAACAGTTTTAGTGTACCTGTGGGATAAGGTGGAACAGCGAACTGGAGGTGAGGGAGCCTACAGCCAGACCTATGAGAGCTGTTAACATCTGCTTGTAGAAAGCCTTCTGCATGAGTGGCAGAACACTGACTCCGAGTAGAGAACATAAGCTGATAGCAGTTACAAACATCAGTCCAAGACCCCATACTGCAAAAGTATCAGCCATTAGTTTATCAAAATACACTCAAGAGCATTTCTAACCTTGCAATTGCACACCTATATAGGCATTAGTTCCTTCTTAGGCATCTGGACTTTGTCTGACAGATCAGTAAAGAACAGAGTGACCTGATACAGAGAACATGAAAGTGGTTAAAGGGGTAAGCAAAGTACGCGGTCGCGTAGGGCACCAAGCAAAAGGGGGTGCATAAGCGCTCTCTAATATTCAAATCAAATCAAATCATCCACTATAAATAACATTAAAAAATCATGTAAATATGTTAGTTGTATTTGCAGTTATAAACTATATTTTGTTCTGGAATAATTTCATCTTGAAAACTGTCATGTTTTTTGGCTCACCCGTTACAAAGGAATATGCTAAGGGATTTTTTTAAATACTAAAATTATATTAACAAACAAATCCAATACTTTTAATAAAATGTGAGTTTAAATCAAAAACAAAAAAATGAGTATATGTCATGATATTCAAAATGTGATTGGCTTTTTAAAAGGTTCCTTTAATTTGAACTAAACAATGTGTATTTATGATTTGAAAATAGAATGACAGATTATGTCTAATTCAAAGATCAGTTACAGTATAAATATTAGCAAGATCAAGTATTCATAGACTAGATTGCTATTATTCTTACTAGATATAATTTTATTGCCAACCGAGTGTATTTTTTTGTCCCATATAAATTCATTGGGTACATACAAATTATCAATAACAAGGAATTGTAGTGTAGCAAGATTTGAGGTCGGTCACAAAGGCTAATTTGACTCAAGTAATCAGTGAGCGACTAGATGGCATCTGTGTCATTCCTATCATTCTGTTGACAAAGCGCTAATTGTGTCTTTCAATGAAGTCTAGCTTGACTCAGATAAACAAATATCTCCGTGCCCAGTCCAAATACTATTCACGGATTTTGTAAAATACAATAAATACTGTGGTCATAACCTTGATCATCATACTTTCCAAAGTAAACTAAATACATGTAGGGGTTGCAATTTAATCAAATATAATAATAGAAATCAAGTTTTTTACACTTAAAGTGGTAAAAAAAACATAATATGACTAATTAATTTAATTGTAATACTAAAAAAAACCTTTATATTAAATTGTAAAACACAATTCAGAAACAATTAAATTAAATTTACATTTATAAGCTTAAATTATCTTAAATTTATCCTTATTAATCAGAATAATATGTTTTAATAGGTATGTACCAACATTATCGTCAAATTCTAACTAATTTACACTCAGTACATGTAATTTACAAATATTGCACTACCCTCATGGATTTAAATCTGACAAGGGATTGATATAATTGGACAAGTGTTTTCCTTACAAAGATTATGGCAACCTCTAATAAATTTCCCCTTATAAAACAAACTTTGGATGGAGTGTAGAAATTATCTTATCAAGTAAAGTGAGCCGGTATAGGTTGTTTCAGTAAAGATTTGGCGTGGCAGGGATGAGGGAAAAGCTCCCAACAACACTGAGAGGCACACCACTAGACACTAGTGGTACTAAATTAACTCAACGACAATTGATTGTCAAGATTACTACACAAGTAACAGAAGCAGCAGTGGTGGGGAAGTGTAATTGACACAATCGGTACAATCGATGAATGAACAGTAGGCCTTCTGGTCAATACAAACAATGGCCACATCACTGGTTCCATAGTCCTTGTGCAATAACCGTGCATAAACATAACAAACCGTGTCAGTAAATGATAATTGAATATGACAGTTCAATTTATCTATCTCGATTTATTGCACAAACTCAATTTGAACTGAAGGAAATTAAAAAATATCATGATGTTTAAAGTCCTACAGGTTTTGCTTGAGGTTCTCTTTAAGATGTTAAAGAAAGAGTATTGAAAATATGTTTTAACATTTATTATTGCAGTATCGATGATTTTTATTCAACCCACATAACAAAGGAACTGTATGCAATTTACTCTTATTACAATCAATACTTACATGAAAAACCTTTTGTTTTAAATATGAATGTAATATTGGGTTTTAATAAGGTTTTTTTAGAGGAAAGAAGTAATTTGAAGACCCCTTGGAAAGGCAACATATCAGATAAAATGAGTTGTCAACTTACTGGATGCTATTAAGTCTAAAACTCTTAATAGATAAGTTAGGTTTAAACTATGGCATTACAGTTAGCTGTAATGGGCAATAGAAAATAGGAGTTGATGATATTCACTATCTTTCTTTTACTTTTTTCAAAAAGCTTAAGAAATTATAAATAAACAGGATCAACAGACTTTCTACCATTTGCTTGAAATTAAAATTGATCATTCTACTACTTTATTAGAAAAAAAATTGAAATCATTATGTTGGTTAACCGGAGAGGTTGACAATTGGGTTTGATGGTAAAATTCACACAAATTGCAATTAATTTGTAACCATTCCTGTTACAGGATTGAGGAGTGGGATCATTTTGTTCAGGGTTAAGAGGACTATAACATACTACATTGGAATCAAAATCATTTGGGTGAAAATATTATTTTTGGTTATTGTATAGAAAAATCACTACATACAAAAATCTAAATTTCAAAAAATACAAATTCATTACCGGAGATACTATGGATTAGTACCCACATACCAAATGTAATCAAAGTTTCACAACAGGTGTAGTCTAACACACACAATCACACACACACATACATAGAAATCACTTCAAAAACCATCTTGGTTGGTTTAACGGATTAAAAAAGAATATTTCCACCCAAAACGCAAACTCGTAAATTTTGACGAGGAAAATATTTTCTCCATGTACTGTGTAAAGGGATAAACAGTACAGATAACACAGTATCAATACAAATAATAAAAACATTTTAGTTTTCGTCCTATTGCCGTGGGGGGACCAATCAATAAAATTTTGCCCAAATTTTGTATGATGCAATAAAGTATTTTATTTAAGAAAAATCAAGTGCTTGAGATGTTATTCAAGGGTGATAGATTTGATCATCAACATTTTACTTATTTTTAATATCATCTACATATTATTAATTATTTTATGCAATATGGTTTTCCATAAAGCAATAGTTTGTTTTTTAATGGATGGATAATAATGGAGATAATATAAATATAGGAGGAACAATTCACAACAGTTTAGTTATTTACCGAGTTTATCTCACTGGTTGATTTATTTTTAATAAACTTTAATTAGTACCATTGTACTTATTATTAGTACGACTTAATTCTCACTCAACTGGTATTTTAATGTTGTGGTATCTATGGACTTTGAGTTCATATCGGAGATGGAAATACGACTGTCATGTTCATAACACATAATAATTAATCATGTTGAAATGTTTTGTTTTGTTTAAACAGGCTACAATATTTAAAAAGTAGATAAAACAATATTAATTTACGCTATACTTTTAGGATAAGCTCAGTTGGATTTCCACTAAAATATCTCCAAAAGTATCATATTTATTTCCTATTAAAATAACATTAACTTTAATGAGTGCTTAGGTTTGCTGCTACAGGGAAGGTAATAAGGAGTGTGTTTTTATCGACAGGTTTATATAGCTTAGCATGAAATAAACAAATTGAAAAATTCAATTAAAATGTATCCATAAGCAAACTAAAACCAGTTCACTTATTCTTCATAAGAATAACATGGGCATTATTTATTTAAACTTTTGTGGAATTTCCTCCGTAGCCCTTAAGCAAACAACAACACTTCAATATACAGTACTAAATTATTGGTTTGTTTAAGCTCTACAAAAACGTTTGAAAAAAAATTTCAAAAAGTTGTGTTTTGGGGGTCAAAAATGGAAAACCCAATTTTTACCCCATAATTACCATAATCTTATTATGCATAATCTTATTATAATCTTATTTATTTTTACCATAATCTGATTATGCTGGTTCGAGTACTCGTTCTAATAAACATAGGTTTACATGTTTGTACCAAATGTCATCAAAATCGGATCAATTTTACTCTAATTAACGTTCTTATGGACATAATTATTAAGTTGTTTTTAGGGAATTTTCCATAGGATATAGGGAATAAGTTATTACCAAAGGTCTCACGGCAAGACCTAGAAATGGGACTGATTGACTTTTTTATTTTGAGGTCCCCATAGAACCTTCTATTTAAATTCATATGTAAATATCCTAAATTATGTCTGTTAGCATGATAATTTAAGTAAAAATCATCTGATTGTGATAAAATTTGGTGCAAATGTGTAAAACTACATTCATTTTAATGAGTTCACAAAAAGCATGATCAGACTATGGGAAGGGGGTTTTATACGGTAAAAAAAGGGATTTCTCAATCATGACCCCCAAAACATAAGATTATGCAATTTCTTACTAAACTACTTTGTAGCTAGCTAAAAGAAAAAGAATTAGTAGGTATTTTGAAACTTTGCGTACACCCAATTGTTACGGAGAAAAAAAATGATAATTTAAAATTGGGGATTTAAAATTATTATTTTTATTGGTTTTATTCAACTAATATTTAACTTATATTTTAATACATTTCACATGGTTTTTATTTGTCATGAAATAAAATGTTTGACTGATACGTTACATGTTGACCACAACAACAATATTTTATCAAACCTAATAATACATAGATGTTTAGTTTCTTCTTTGTGATGAAGAGATTATACTACCTATTTAATAGATTGTTTTTGATATTTGCCTTCACAATTCAACTTCATTGTTTTTTACTCATCATCATGAAAAATGTTCACAATAATCTCTTAAATAACAAATGAATGAATGAAATAATGTTATTTTCAAATAATATACAGGAAACAAATACATACTTTTGAATACATATAAGTATATAAACAACTAAAATGCCTGATTTGATTTTCAAATAAGTCCATTTCAACAACAATATGTTTAACGAGTACCTAAGTTTGCTGCTACTGGGAGGGTAATAAAGTGTGTTTTTTATAAAATATTAATAGCTTGGTATAATGCTTATAAATTTGCCAAGTTTGATCAAAATGTATCCATAAACAAGCAAACTTATTCGCCATAAGAATATCGAGAAAATTTAAATTTACAATTATTTAGAATTTTCTCTCAACCAATAACTGTAGAAAAACACTTTAACCCTTCCCGGACGGGTGACGGATATATCCGCATAAGTCTTTGGTGATAAAGGACAGGTGACGGATATATCCGCATATGGTTTTTGATGCTCCGAACGGGAAGCGGTTATATCCGCCTTCTTTTCAGACACACGGCAGGTGCTTGAGCAGTAACCAGATGTTTCGCGGAACCAAGGCGCCAATATCCTGCTCTTTCCATGACTGCGCTCTCCCTCGCACTCCCCCCTCTCTACTGCGCTAACCCCTCTCCTGCGCCTCACCCCAACTTGCGCACCTACCACCACTCCTACGCCCCCCCTCGACGTTTCGCGCTCAACATTACGTTGTCTCTATTTATTGTTTACATATTGTTCTTTATTTATTGCCTAAAGTTGTCATGGTCATACCTTCAAAGACGGGTGGCGGATATATCCGCTGCATTTCTACTCATCCGAGGATGGGTAGCGGATATATCCGCATAGTTAAAAAGGATAAAAAAAATTATTTTGACAGTATGATGTGTTCCACTGTGTTTCTTTTATGTATACTTGTGTAACAAAACACAAATATGAAAAAAAAAAAATATTTTCCCGTCCTGTCATGATTTCTCTCGTCCGGGAAGGGTTGAGATACTAAATAATTTGTTTTTTAAGCTCTTTAAAATGGTTTGGAGAGAAATTGGAAAATACTATATTTTGAGGGTAAAATATGAGAAAACCCAATTTTTACCCTATGAATCCCCACATAAAACCCCGTTCCCATGGTCTGAGCACGCTGGTTTGCAAACTCGTTTGAATAAATGTAGGTTTACACGTTTGTAAAAAATTTCATCAAAATCGTATAATTTTTGCTCCAGTTATCGACATTGTGCTAACGGACACATATATAGGCCTATATGAATATGAACGGACAGTGTTTTTGGCCTCTGGGGACATGAAAAAAAAAGGAAATCGGCTCCTGGTCCAGGTCCCACCATGAGACCTACGTTAATAGCTTATTACCTATATGAAAAATTTGCTAAAAAAACATTTCTGTATTGCTTACTTCATTTGATTAATTTTATGAAATCAGCAGACATTGGCAAGTGCTGCCTGTGCGTCTGCTGGGTTGCTATTAAAATATTAGGCTAAGTAAACCAAATCATAATCAAATTATTTGAAAATTAAATAACTTAAATTGAAGTAAACTGTTGCTTAAAAAAATATTAGTTTAGGGAAAAACATTTATATTGAATAGGTACTCTTAACACGTTTGCTGCGGTACATCAAATGGCAGGCGTAGCCCCAGTGCGCAGGGCCGGTTCTAGGATTTTTTTAGAGTTAAGCGAACATCTGAATCAGCACCACCTAGACTCCCCCCCCAACCCAACTCCCTATGAACATAACTTAACCCTATTTGTTAAAATTTTTCCCCAAGATTTTGGGAAGAACTTTTTTATGTGTTTAGGTTAGAAGAATACTTGCAATAAAAGACTTTTTTCAACTAACTGTTTATTATTCACAGAAATTTAATATTTTTACACTTTTACTCATCATATAGGCTACACTTTAGCAAAACCCTAAGTTAACAATTTATTTCTAAATGTGAAATCAATTTTTACAGGATAACTTGGATGCAATATAAGTTTTTATAAAGCCTATTACAATGAAAAACAGGTGTAGATAGATGACAAGGGAGGAATTTTTAATGAAATACATTAAACATGTAGAAAACATTAAAAACCAAATTGATGTATTACCTTGACAAAAATAATACAGAATGTTCAATTTGAACAGTTCAAAAGTTCTTACCAGTTAAAATTAACTCTCCTAGCTTTGATCTTGGCAAATTCTTTAATCGCTGAGTCGGTGTCAATCTGGTTCAGAACATCATTTTCTATTGACATTAGTGATAAGATAAGCCAACCAAGCGCTCCTGCGAGATCGTAGACCTTAAATACATCTTGATGAGTTTTAACTTGGAGAATGAACGTTCACCACTCGCCGCAGAAACCGGCAGAGTTAGAAAGAAAATGGTGTCCCATTGGCACCACAAAAAATATGCAACCGCGTAGTTCGCGTATGGGTTAAACCGGCCCTGCCAGTGCGGCGCAGCCCGCAGCGTCGAACAAACCCGATTGCCGGGTGATTGGCTTTTAAATTTCGGTCTGACGAATAGCAAATAACGCTCGGTGATGTCCGACAAGAGTTGACGTAGTTCACTTAACACCCACAGATAGCAGCACTGCTTGGAACGTAGCCGGTCCCATTGTATTGGCGATTGGAGGGATAGAGACGGGACAACAAGTTGATTTTTAAGTTTGCCAGATGGGGATTTTATGGGGAAATTTTACTACCAACCTACACCACAACCAAAAGCAATTCACCCACTACACGCTAACGTGGTATAGGTCCGCATTCGACTGACGCTAGAGCAAAAACAAAGATATATGTAAGGCATTGCAGAGCGCATCCGATCGGTTATGGCAGCATCTGAACACCGCTCGGCCCGTATCCGATCGGATACGCCCGCAGTGAACGTGTTAAAATACAATAAACAAAGAGAATATTAAAAGTTTTGATCAGGTGAGAACTATATCTAAAAGATTCATGCTGGCCGAGGATGGAGGGGGCAAGGGTCGGGTCAAACACGCCGGTAATCAGCTATGATGATAACATCGGCCTCATCTATACAAAGCCTGAAGAGAAATTCTTTGACTCTTAGTTTGAAAACATTAAGTGAAGGTGATTAAAAAAGATTATCATTACTTAAATGAGTACTACAGATATTTCGACAGAGTATATTAGAAATATAGAAAGATTTAGTTTTCGAGAAAGTATAGTTTATCTGAAGCGAAGAAATGCCTGAGACTCATAAGGAGTAATGGGTACTATGAGAGTGAGTTATTCCTTAAATACATTAGTATGATTTTTAAAGACGTTTATTGATAATGAATAGCTGTCGAATAGTGAGAATGGACAATTCCTTGAATAGAACGTCAATCGGATATCGTTTGCATTTCCAACCCACCAATTTACATACATAGAGACCACTCCATGAGTCATAAAATGTCAAATAAAATTTAAGTGGGTTAATGTGAGACTTGACACATCTGATGAGTAGACTATAACTTATCACTATGCACTCTCCAAAGAGCATTATGGGGTAAAAGTACTAATCAAGCTTGTTTTATTCTCCTGTGCTTGAAGTAAATCAAGGTGTAAATTATTCCTTTGATTCCAAAGAAGTTTTAGCATAAATTAAACCAAGCAACTTAAGATATGTTACGTACTACACAGGTATTTTGCAACAGGAGTCTACTTTTAACACAGCTATGAGCAAGAAAAAAATACAGAATGAGGTAGATAGCTTAACGTACCTTCACTTTGAGTGGGTTTGGTTCGAGTCTGCGCCAAATTGCTCTTGAGAGATTCTTCTTGTTCACTCAATAGACAGTTGTAAGTCTAAAAATATGTAAACAAGATTTGAAAATATAGAGGATAGAAAGAAGTTAGTGTTAAAAATTTGTATATGTGTTAAACTGATTAGTATTGGTGACAAAATGGCACTAAGGCTACGGCCACACAGGCGTTTTTTCACGGGGTGAATACTAGCTTATTTTCATGCTGATTGAATTCCCGCTGTTGTAGGCCTCACGTGCGTTTATTTCACGTGGTAAAATGTAGCTTATTTTCGCACAGGTTCCGGTTGAAGTCTAGGAGCGGCAAAACGCAGTGGCAACTCGCAGTCGATTGCTGAATTCACGTGATTATGTTGTATATCTTCCTCACGGCCGGAATATTAACCTTGTTTTTGACTACTGATAGTGAACAAGAAATATGAATGGCTTATTAATCTCAATACGAAAACAACACTAAAATTATTTTATTTTGTTCACCTTTAATTTAATTATTTACATTTAGTAGGCCTATCAAAAATGTTATATTAAAAAATCTATTTATGACATTTTTTAAATCAATTTCTAACATTTCATCAGATCTTTGAATATAACTAAAATATTGCTCCACAAAAATGCCTCTTCACATTCTTTAGTCCAATATAATTTATTTCCTTTTAATAACAAATTAATAAGTGGTCCAGTAAGGTCGACGTATTTTTAGGATAAAACGTGGACAGTGTAATTGGCTAGACCCCAAAATATTTTACGCTAATCTGGAAGAAATCACATTTATCTTGATTTAAACATGCGAGGACCACTTGAGCGATGCTGCGTGTTGCTACCGCCCGTGTGGCCACTGACAGTGCGTGAAAACAAGATTCAAAATTGCACCCCAGTCAAACCTGGAACCTAAATATAGATAACCTACAAAAACGCCTATCATAGCCATTTTTTGCTCCACGCAGAATTAAAGAAATAAACGAACACATAACTTAGCTAAAATAGCCTAACTTAATATTTATTTTTTGCAGCACACCTGAAATTTGGTATAGTAAGTTAGTGTGGAGAGGCACACGTCATGTCATACATCTGCCATACATATGTCATACAATTGAAAAAATTCCAATAGGTAGGCCTACTAAAGAAGAAAGCCACCAGAATCATCGATCAGACACTGTAGGTACCAAGAACATTGTAAACCACTTAAAATTCAGCAACATAGGCAGATAGGATAACTAGACTACCTACTTCAGAATCTAAAAGTCGAAGCTACTAGCAAGCAGGTGATAGGATATTTAATTTTTTTAAAGTTGGCTAATAACCACTCTATTTAATTGAAGCCGTCCGCTCGACTAGCCACTTCCAGTTGTGACTTGTATTTGTATGAGTGAGTTGTGTTGTGAAGTTATAGCCCCAAATGACTTCTGGGAACACTTGTTTTCCATAATGGTATTTAAGTGATAATAAACAATTCTGGTCAGAGTTCATTGAACTTACAGAGACCTCATGGCGTTTATGGGACATCAAAAATAAACTGTATTGTAACAAACATAACATGCCTATAAAGAGGGGTGTACGATATCCTCTTGGTAAAGTGTTTTTAGGTCTAGGAAAAGTCTTTTTCTTGAGGTTTTATTGAGGCTCATTGATGGCGAGTATACCCAGGAGTGTCATGTTGCTAAGCTTGTTTCGCTCCAATGACCACTGCTTGGACCAACCCCACCTATTTTTCTCCTCTTTGCGTTTCAAACACAAAACTCCAGCACAAACAGCTACAGTCGTCTCGAAATCCATCTCAAAACTGATATGGTAATAAACCCGACTTGTTTGGTAACATACTCGGCAGTGTGTGGGAAACACCCAACATTGTCAGGTTGGATGTTGGATTCATCGTTAGGTCAGGTCTGGCGGCATGTTCGATAGTGTGTGTGGGGCTTTGGCCATGAACAATGAGGTGTACTATTTACACCATTGATTGCAAACTCCAACAGTTGTACACTTCAAGCCAAAACTTTGGATGCAAAACCAAACCTAAGATGTATCTTGTGTAGGCCTACATTTCTAAAACATCTTTTTGCTATTGGATTAAATTAATATTTAAACTGCTTAAAGTAGTAATATCCCCACAAAGTAAAATATTAAAACTGATCAGATAAGTAAGAGAAGAATTATGAAAATCAACCCTCCATTGAACACTGAATTTAGAAGGTTAGTCCAATTGCTCTCAAATATAAGTTAGAGTTAGGTTAAGTTTAGGTTAGGTTTGCTTCTCAAGAGTTTAGGCTGACAAAGAATTCATTAATGATTGCATTACCTGTTTCTTCAATATCTTATTTTCTGAGCATTTTGAAAATCTATCAACAATGACCTGAAGTTGTGCGGAACTAAAATTATATGCTTCCGAACTGACACAATCGGTGTAAACATCGGTAACAAACATACATGAAAAGAAAAGTATATAACCTAAAAGGAATTTTGAATTCATATTAAACTATTCAGTTTGACTTGACTAGTGGTAATACAGTAAATGTCATGTAATACTGAACATGTTCTAATAATCAAATAGGAGGCACGAACCACTAACACTAGTCACATTAACTTAGCTGTTAATTAAAAGCTATCTAAATACTTAAAAAGTTTAAGTAAGTATTTCTACTTCCAATATTTGACGCTTGCTTGATGAAATAATTTTCTTTCTGCCCTTGACAGACACTAGAGAATGCCAGCTGTTCAATTCCATGAACTAAAATACAGGTATGAAGCAAATAGTATCTACTTGTTGAGCCGATGATTATTTATGTATAGTTGAAAAATAAATCGATGATATATTCTAAGTTTTATATGTAGTTGATCTATTCGAAAGAACCTAATCACATTCACTCTTTTTGATGATTTTGTGTTGTTCCGTGATAGCTCTACAAAAAATAATTGTTTGCCTTTTCGTGGGTATACATGGGGGGACTTAAAAAGAATTTTTTTTAAATTGTTGGGGATTGAATATTATTATTTGTGTCCATCGATATTCAAATTGGGTTTTAATTTGCGTAAATCGATAGTTTTTTCATAGTTTTGTCATAATTTCGTCAAGTTTCAACATTTATCATACGGTACGTTAAGGGGGAGATATATATTTATTTATTTTACATTTCAACGGACAACTCCATTTTTTCAGTTTTGAACAATAAGAAAGAACTCAGTGGTTTTATAACTTCCAAAAGGGCATTCTTAATCATTTATTAATTATTTATAAAAGTCTTAATTTATTGCAGTATCTTTAATCTATGATTATTTATGCCTAGACTATTTTTTTTGTACTAGACTATGCCACTGGACTGGACTGACCAGTCCTGTCTCCTGTCAATCCTGTCTCCTCCTGTGTGCCTGTCTGTCTGCCTGTCATTCATCCACTCATCATATTGTTAGGACCATACATCGATGGTTAGGACTGTGTTGTTGTTGAAAATTAGTAGTTATTTTAGGTTAGATTTTGTATATATTTACAGTTATGAGTGTACAGGATTTTTATAATTTGAAAAGAACGTCTCTCGCTGTTATACAGGATAAATAAATCACAAGTTACGAATCCAAAGAAACGTAATAATGTCTATCGAAAGTTACTATTTAAAATTGTCTGAACCTCTGAAGTTTGAGGCTGTGAGTAGAGCTCGTCTCAACAATGTATTTTTTGACGAATGTCATAATCAGGTAAGTTGCTTATTTCCAGTTCCACTACTTTGTCAATAAACAAAAACATTGTAATTTGTTGCATAGTACCGGTACCTGATGTTTCGAAATTCTGTATGATTACCCTACTATGAACAATGATTCCTTCCTACTTAGAGCATAGGCCTACCAACTAACTTACATTGTGTCTCGGAAGAAAATTGTTTTAATGTAGCAAAATAATAAAAAGGGGCTACGCTTTTAAATTTAAATTTCTTAACTGGGCTACGCTAATATTGATTGAAACTATAGATTCGATTAATAATCCTTCAATCGATTTTATAATTATCAGCATGTTTAGTTATAAAATAGGTTATAAGACTTATTACTTATATCCTTAATCAAGATGGCACTTGCAACGTTCTAGTCTGATTGGTCTTTACAGCATAAATAGCTTATTTACCGAACTTAATTATCAAACCTCACCCAGATTTTCAGGAAAATTTTGAAGTAAGATCTGTGTACCTAAGTAATAACTGTCAATTTTTCCGAACGAACTACGTGTTGTAACCCATTAATTTTCCAACACTATTTGCCACTTCACGTTGAAACAACCTCAACTCAGAAACACTCTCATGGAACGGGATTGAACTAAGCAGACAAAACTACGACTGGAATTTATCCACAGCCTTCTATATTTCATCGTTATAATAAAAAATACTTAAACATAATATATTCAATAACTTGAGGCGGCACAAAAGTAATTAAAATATCTACTGGACATCATAATAATCCTCCAAGGAATAGAAGCTCTGTTGGCAACACCACGATTTTAACTTCTTTTTGAACAGTTTCGGCTACAGGTTCTTAATGTTCTCAGGCAGTCTATTAAACATCTTACCAGTATCTTATCAGTAAGAGTAGTAGTGGGAAACTGTCCTTCACTTTAGAAGAACGGCATCTGGAAATACAGATCAGGTTGTTGTTTCTTGAATTGTGACTGTGAAGCTGCCCTCTTATTTCGAAATCAGCTAAATTCTCTTTAACATAGAGGAGGGAGCTCAATATATAGTTCCCATAGACTGCCAGGATGCCAAGATCTTGAAATAAAGGTTTGCAGTTTTGCCAATACTCAGCTCTTTTCATAATCCTGAGTTTTAAGTTACGGTAATCAGATCGCACAGGGTGAGTGCAATCGCCTCACCACCTTCAAAAGCCTCGTATACGCAGCACAGCATATCTTTAACTGCCGTTGAAGTTTATCTTCCTTATCTGAAACCATGTTTTATGACTGATAAAATAAAATTTTGTTCAAAAAAGTCTGTTAATTGGATCTTGATTATGGTTTCGACTACTTTGCTCAGAATGGCAGTGATACATATCAGCCTATAGCGATTTAAAAGTTCCGGGTCACCCTTTTTGTAGATTGGTACCGTCCACGAGATCTTGAGTGCGTTGAGAAATATACCTGTAGCTAAGCTATGGTTGACCACTGCAGCAAGAGATGCAGTGCTGTCAATAATCTTAATTAATTTTGTTGTAGTCATTCCATAGGCATCACTACTTTGCGAGTGCCGAAAGTTCTTTACAATTCTAACTATTTCCTGCTGGTTAGTAGATCAAATCAAATCAAATCAAAATCTCCTTTATTCATGAATGTACAAGTACAATGAATAGAGTCAGTGAGTACTTATTGTCTATTCACAATATTTTAAATTATAAAATTCCTCAAAGGAGTAAATTGCTTTTTCTACTAGGTATTTTTTTAGTTTAAAGTAAAATTTCCTACTATTACATACATTTTTTATATCTTTTGGTAAAAAATTTATATATCTAAGGCATACACTGTGTTTTTTTTATAAAATTCTAAATTATGTCTGTTTTGTATAACATATTGTGCATTTCTGGTATTATATCTATTACTGGTAGGCCTACTTAGTTCTAACTGTATTTTTGGTAAATGGTGCTGCTTAGTTTATTTTATTGTCTCGTATATATAAATTCCAAACACTGTTAGGATTTCCAAATTAGAAAAATGATACTTTACACTTTCAATCCAATTTAAACTTAGATCTCCACTTGTCAAAAACTACGTTAGGTTGAGGTTGGACACTAGTGACTGCTATACTTTCTGGAATGCCTTCAACAAACTCCTTAACAGCAGTAATAAAGAAGGAGTTTACCTGTTCAGGGCTGGCAGGGCATTCCACACTTGCCGTTTTCCTGTGTATAAATACGATGTTGGCGGCCTTCTTCGCTGCATCTACCTTGATCCTGCCTTTGTATACCTTGATCTTTTTGTGTTAAGGTATAGGTCAGGCAAGTTTGTCTATCTTGACTTAGGTTGCTTAAGAGCAGAATATATGATCTTAGCCTAGTCAACTCCTCCGTGTACCACAATTTCCCTCTTGAACCAGAAATTCTAGAATTCTTTAGCTTGTACAAGTAGATTGTTTCTTGTATCTCAGAGGAAATATTTTGTCAAATATTGACTTCAATTTATCAAAAAAATAGGTCAAAGAGACTATTGCTTTTATCACATAAAACAAGATTCCAATCCTGTAGCACGTTCTTCAGCAAAAAATATAATCCAATTTCCATCAACTTTCCTGTAAGTAGGTATCTGCTTACAGCTGACATCAGTGACTACAGCATCATGGTCGGCAACAACAGCACTGTGTTTCTCCAGTACAATCCATGAGACCTCATAATCTCAGTAAGATTCTGTGTTCTTGTGGGGTCAACATTTAATGGGGTAACTTATTAAAATCCCCACCAATAAGGATCCAGTTGATTTTACATTGTCCAAGCAATTATCAAGCAGAGCTAAAAAGTTATCAAAATCACCATTGTCCCAGTGGTTCACTGACAGCACTGCCAATGAATAATCATTGAATACCGTTCCAACAATTTCCAAATCAAAATCAACACAAAAATCATTCAGATCAAGGTTATGGCATTTGAGTTTATTATGTATGTAAATAGCAACCCCACCGTGTATGCGATTTTTCCGGCAATGGATGGATTTTTTTGGCAAGTGTACAGTCACCTATTTTTGAGTAAAAACTTGATTCTTCATGAAAAAGCCAGTGCTCATATATGTCAAAGATATCAGGTTGAATGACATCCATACCAACAACTCAACTAGCCTACATTAAACTTAGTTCACAGACATTGAACGTTAAGGAAAACACATAATAAATTAGCACTATTGGCATGTATACTGGGTTTGGTGGGTGTTGAGTTAGCCTCCCCATTGGTCAAACCTAATCGAGAGGGGACATCCCAAAAAAAAGGATTTCAATTTTCTTGACGAAAAAACATTACTTGGGGGTCAAGCCACTCATCATTTTCTTGCACTTGGAACTGAACCCCTATTTCAGATGTACACTATGTCATGGTAGATTCTTTAACGCTTTGTTATTTTCAGGTATTTTCAGTGCAGTCAGGAGAGATGACAGAAATCATTGTCAGATGCCCTCCCTCTCACGTCAGAAGTTTCAAGATGAAGGAGAAAGGTCCAGTTATCTCAATTAAATTCAATTTTTCTCAAAATATTTTGGCTGTTCAAAGGACATCATCATGTGTGGTATGTTTGATTCATGTGGTTTTGTTTTTCACCAAGCTGAATTTATATTGTTCAGGTGCATTTACAACACGTGTCTAAAAGAATTTGTCCACCAAGATATTCAGTGGCATTCACACACACCGTGACAGTCTATGATATTAATAACTTTTGTGAGTGTAACTTATGTTCTTGATAAATTATCTGCTCTAGCCAATGAACATTCCCAATTGTCTTAGTTATTTTTTGTTTGCCTAAAATATATTTAGTATTATTATGTTCAGCTCTGATTTGTCCTTTGTGAATGACACTAGTTTTGGCTTTTGTTAGGCCATAATCATATCCATCAGGGATTAAAACGTACTCAGGTTCTCTCGAACATTCCCATTGGTGGTTTTCAGTGTTAAATTCTGGTGGTTACTATTTTGTGTTTTGTGTGTTTGTATTATGTTGTTGAAGTTATAAGTGTGTTAACTGGTTCATGGCATTAAGATGAGGTCAATAGTTACGGATAAGTATTGATATTGTACCCCAAAGCAGAACAACGAGCGACGCTGCGACATTATCGCGGACACGAAACGCCGAGAAACGCGGGCCTGCGGACACATTTACGGAGTCATAACGACGATCGCGCCGTGGCCGCGATTATTGGACCGACGATCGTACCGTGACCGCGAGTCATAACGACGATCGGGCTGTGACCGCGGAGTCATACCGACAGTCACGCCGTGACCGCGGAGTCATAACGACGATCGCGCCGTGACCGCGAAGTCCTACCGACGATCACGCTGTGACCACGAGTCATACCGACGATCACGCCGTGACCGCAGAGTCCTACCGACGATCGCGCCGTGACCGCGGAGTCATACTGACGATCATGCCGTGATGGCGGAGTCATGCTGACGATCGAGCCGTGACCGCGAGTCATACCGACGATTGCGCCGTGACCGCGAGTCATGACGACGATCGCACCGTGACCGTGGAGTCATACCGACGATAACCCGGTGACCGCGGAGTCATACCGACGATCGCGCCGTGACCGTGGAGTCATACCGACGATAACCCCGTGACCGCGGAGTCCTACCGACGATCGCGCAGTAACCGCAGAGTCCTACCGACGATCGCGCAGTAACCGCAGAGTCCTACCGACGATCGCGCCGTGACCGCGGAGTCATACTGACGATCGCGCCGTGACCGCGGAGTCATACTGACGATCGCGCCGTGATGGCGGAGTCATGCTGACGATCGAGCCGTGACCGCGAGTCATACCGACGATCGCGCCGTGACCGCGAGTCATGACGACGATCGCACCGTGACCGTGGAGTCATACCGACGATAACCCCGTGACCGCGGAGTCATACCGACGATCGCGCCGTGACTGCGAGTCATGACGACGATCGCGCCGTGACCGTGAGTTCTACAGACGATCACCCCGTGACCCGCGAGTCACAAGTTTCTATAGGTACCTGTAAATTGTTACCCATTTTTTGGTTTTTATAGATCAGTGCCACAAATGGTAAAAATTGATTTCGTATGTCTTTTTTGGTAACTGCAATACAGTACTTTTTTATGCACAGAAAAAAATCCTGTCCCATCCCGTCCCAAAAATTGGGAAGGAAATAAAAATTCCGTCCCGTCCCGTACCGAACTAAAATTTCAATCCCGTCCATCCCTAGTGTGTTTATATAAAGAAACTATAGTACATTTAAAGTTTTACTTCTGAAGACCTTGTTAACACTTGTTAAGGTATGTGTATATATATACGTATTTAAAAAAAAGTAAATTTAAATAACCTGATTATGCCTACCCCTTAATAGTTTTTTGTTTTAAAAGTAGGCTATACAAGTTATTGAAATTTACTTATTTTATTTAACTATATTACTAGTAGCCATAAAGAGTGAATATATATATATATATATATATACCGGTATATAAGTCATTATTTAGCTTTTTAGTTTTAGCGCTTGCGGAGACATTTTGAGGTTTTCACAGGCCGTTGCAGACACGTAGGAACCATTCTGCTTTGGGGATATTGTATAGGCATATGTTTCAATGCTACAAAGTCCTATTAAACAGTATTTATTGTTACAGGAATTCATACATTTTCAAGAAGGAAACCAGTTCGTAGAATTCTCTCATCCCTGTAAGAGCAAGAATGCTAAAATTCTTGGATTCGTTTGGATGTCTGCTTCTGATATAGTTTATGTAACAGATCAAGGTGTAGAGTTATGCCAGGTAACACATCATATAACTCTCCTTATCCTAGGCACATCAAACTCATAACTTAATTTTTTTACTTACAAGTTTTTACAAGATCAAATGTTACGGTATTTCAAACTTTCCAATTTTTAAGAACAACTTTTTCTATGGCTGTAGTCTTTAAAATTTTACAAATATTGATATCATGTAGGCCTAGTTTTCTATGTACCTAGTGATACACCCAAACCCAAACCCGAGAGCATAAGAATCAATTACAATCTTTGTTTTGGATAGAGAATGTTGATCAAAACTATTAACAACTCCACTGAATGAATTTATGCTATGTTTCATGTATTGACTATATGTGTGTAAACAACCTGTGCTCACTTTTGCTAATTTAGTACAAGTCATTATAATTTCATACTAGTTATTAAACAGAAGAATTATTACGTTTTGCGGGGTGGCTGCACTGTGCCACTCAACCTGAAGTTGGACGCATTGTCACGGCCTCCTTCTTCTATGTCCACCCATTATCGTAAGTGGTTCTTTCACGCTGTCCACTTTTCTTAAGTTAACTTTTAAGGTTACGTCATTTTGGCGCAGTCGGTTATCAGCTTAACTATTTCTATCCTAGTTAGGGTAGTACGGGATAAAAGTTGTTTTTAGGGCTAGTGCGTGTATTAGACTAGACATTATTGACAATGGCAAGTATCAGTGTTGGCAGAATTTCAGGATTTAATCCAGTTGAGGAAGACATTTCGCCCTATTTGTTGCGCCTGAAGCTTTTTTTCAACCCGAACAACATCAAGAAGGAAAACGAAGTGTTGGTTTTAATTACAGTTATCGCTATCAGTTTTATGTGGTGACTTTAATATGGATTTTCTTAGTATTGAAAAAGTTCCTGTGAACCTTGTAAATCTCTTTAATATGTATGGTTTACAGATGAAAGTTACTGAGACTACTAGAGGGAAAAGATGCTTAGATATTGTATTTACATCTTTAAATGACAACTGTACAATCAATGTAGCAAACAGACATGTATTAGATAGAGAATTCAAATTCTATTTAGGAAAAGAATGTTGGGAGGATGTTTTTCAGACAAATGACATTCATGTTAGTTTTAGAAATTTTATAGATACCTAGAGATATTATTTTAGTGTTTTTTGTAACAACAATAACTAATAAAAAAGTAAGATATAAGAAAGTACAAACAAAATGTCAATGGTATAATTTAGAGCTTAAAACATTAAAGACTGATTAGATTTGCTGTATGACCTCTCAAAATCCTACAAATATTGCTTGGTATAAAAATGAGTATAAGGAACTCAAGATTATATATAGGCGTTCGATTAAAGAGGCAAAAAAAAACAAAAAAAAAAACAACGTTGGCTTTATTGATAATGCAAAAAATTAAACAAAAGCGTTATGGAATATTGTAAATAAAAATAAAAAAAGATACGGTACTGTAAATAGTAGTGATAATAATTATTTTATACCAGATGAATTCAATGACATTTTTATTATTGTTGCCAAAGATTCAATTAGCCTGTTCTTGTGTAAATAGTAACTGTGATTTCAATTTATATTTAAGTAACCTGATTGTACCTGATAATACAGGGTGGCGCAGAGAAACGGGAAGTTTTAAAATAATCATAATAAACCAAGAAAATTGTACAAAACAATCTTTGATGGTGAAAATGTGTTGGTCAAGTGTGGAAAATACATAAGAAATATTGGAAATAGGAATAAAGTTAAAAATCACATTTTAAAAATCACATGAGTTAAGTGCTGTCTTTTGGGCCTATTAGTTCAATTGATTTTGAAGATTTAGCATCGTGCTACGCAATGTGTCCTCTGGGATGTTGGTGACGTGTTCTTCGATCTGAGTCTTGAGCTAAATAAGGTTTCTTGGCCTAGTCAGGTACACAACGCTTTTTAGATGTCCCCATAGAAAGAAGTCGCACACTGAGAGGTCTATGGAGACCGTGGGTCAAACGACGTTAGCGTTCCTTGAAATGATGCGCTCCCCAAACACACGTCCCCATGCAGCCATTGACAGATTTGCAGTGTGTGAGGTGGATCCGTCTTGTTGAAACCAGGTTTGCTGGATTTCAATACTTGGAAAAGCATGAAGCCGTGGAGTAAACAATGTCTCCAGCATATGAAAGGAACGTTGAGATCTAAAAGTTACAGTGGAACCATCTTCATCCTCAAAAAAGTAAGGTCCAACCATACCAAGACAAGAAACTCCACACCATACACTAACTTTGGGACTGAGTAACGAACGTTGATGAAGTTCAGTGGGATTTTGTTGAGCCCAGTAACGCATGTTCTGCTTATTGACATGTCCTTTTAAATGAAAGTGACAGACATCCAAACATTTGCAGCTGATGCACTGTCGCCATTTTTGTAGTACGTTCACACGGTGACTGCACTCTCCGCACTACTCCACTGCTCCATCTCAACTAAATGTCCATTACTACTTGGCGTCATGACGTCCGTTTCTCATTCCTACAAGACATGCAGGTGTACTAACGACGACTTCAAAATTTCCCGTTTCTCTGCGCCACCCTGTATTAGTGAATTTAGTTTTAAGTTTGTAACAGAAAAGAATATTATAGATGTAGTTAAGCAATTAGCTCCTAAAAAAAGTCAAGATCACTATGTTTTGTGACTAACGCTTTGATTAAGGAAGCTATTACCAGTTTTTTAGTTCTTAATAGTTTTAATAGTTCTTTAAGACTGGGAATATTTCCTGATGTTTTAAAGATCACAAAAGTCCTTCCTATTTATAAAAAAGGTAAAAAAGAGGATATAGGTAACTATAGACCTGTTGCAGTTGTACCTGTTTTATCTAAGATAGTGGAACTAGTAGTTGGTACACAATTAATGGAATATTTGGAATCCCATGATTTGATTTGCAAAGAACAGTTTGGATTCCGAAAAGGACTATCAACAACTCTAGCAATTATTTTTATGGTTGATAAGGTGCTAGATTGTTTTGAAAAAAGACTTTGCTGCAATCACTTTCTCTGATCTAAGCAAAGCCTTTGGTCGAGTTTCATCTACACTCTACAGTACTGTTAGAAAAATTAAATTACTACAATATCAAATGTGTGGCTTTAGATTTATTTAGGTCTTATCTGCAAAATATATCTCAGTATGTGGCTTTAGGGAATAATCTGTCTCAATGTAAACCTGTAACCTGTGGAGACCCTCAAGGCTCTGTACTTGGGCCATTATTGTTCTTGATAGTGGTTAACGACTTAAGTGTAAATGTCCCTACAGATATTGTTTTATACGCAGACGACACCACGGTAATCACCAGGAGTTCAGACTATAGTCAACTTTTAGAAAACTGTGAGTTGAATAAAAATGCTGTTGAGAACTGGCTTACAGCAAATAATTTAATTTTAAATAAAGATAAAACAACAACTATAGTATTTAGCCGTAGAGAGATTCCTGAGATGCCAAATGTAAATTTGCATCCAAAGTTTTTGGGGCTAACTTTTGATACTACTCTAAATTGGCAATATCATGTTCATTTGGTGAAGGGAAGACTTATTGACTTATGAAGGGTTCTAGTGTATTTGCCAGTGTTGGGAAGTAGCGCGCTACTTTTTTTGTAGCGTTAGCTGTAGCTACGCTACTTTTAAGATTTTGTAGCTTTAGCTGTAGCTAGCTACATTTTTAAAGTAGTTGTAGCGGAATTTTAGCTACTTTTCTCGCTACATTAACATTGTTTGAGATAGTGATTTTTATCATAACCTCAACCTTACGTGAAACAACCTCTTTCAAACTGAGATTTTCAAAACAATTAGGCCTACTTTCTTGGCTTCATACTACAGCTGGTTGCAGCCGTTTCATTCCCTATTACAACGTTGTGTAAACATGGATGGTATTAAATGAGTGTTATCCACATTTTTGGCTCTCATTTCCTTAATTTACTACTCTATGATTACTGTCAGATAAAATAAAATCGCTAGTTGCAGACGACGTTTAAACGTTACCGGTGACAAGAGAAGCTATTGAATGCTTGCAAGTGATTAACAGGGAAATTAGTAATCAATTTAGTTTCTTTATTATATTGATAGTGTTTCAACTTGGGTTTTAATGGAAACCAACACTAAACTTTAAAACAATGAGAAAGCTGGTCTAGCTTCAGCTGTTGATTGTGGTTCATCACCACAAGCCCTTCCTTGGTTAGATTACGAAGATTTTTCAAAGGCTTACTAAATTAACAAAGAGGAAATTACCTGATGAGATTTAAGATATGCCTAGACTACATGATAATTGTAACTTAACGAAAAAATTTCCATATAACATGAAACTTAGATTGAAAAAATAGCATAGTTTACTCCTGCTAACAGCTCTTGTATAGGACTATTCCTAGGCTATGCTATGATTTAAGACGAATACCAAGTTCCAAGTTCAATTATTAGGAATATATCTGTTTAGTCCTTGAAAGAACAAGCCTACTATAGCCAACTTGTTACATAGCCAAGTAGGCCTACATGTTATTTTTACTTTACAAATTTCAACATGTTTAAATCAAAAGCCGATTTCAGAATAAGTTGCTGAATACTCTTTTCTGTACCAACTAGGTTGAAGCACAATTTGCCCTATGCATAATGACAATAAAGGACGATTTCTTGAAATTGAAAAGTGTTATTCATAGAACAAGTAACTTATCTCTATGGTTAAAAGTTATAGCAAGGTCGTTTTTAACATTAAAAAAGGCAATAAACTCCAATTTTAGTAAGCTAGGCTCTGTAACACAAATTTTTTTTTTAAATAATAGTTTTACAGTTTTATTGGTCTTAATTGTTGATATAAGACATCTATAAATGAATCTATATTAAAGAAATAAAATGAGCTTTTAAAATTTAGTTTTGTTGTATGTCCTTTGAACTTAATGAAATTTACATATAAGATGCTTAAAAATAATGCAATATTTAAAAATAAGTACTAAATATGATGGGACACCCAAACTATTTGGTTCTGTTGTTGTAATTTTAGGTTTATAATGCCAACAAATTAAATACAATCTAGGAATAATTTGTTTTCCAAGTAATGTTAGATACAATACTGACATTTTTTGTTTCAATGTTTGTTCAATAAAAATGTAGTTGCAATTAATTTTACATTTTAATGTGCGTGGAATAAAAAGTAACATCTTTGGAAAAGTAGCTAAAATTGTAGCTATAGCTACATTTCATTGTAGCTGTAGTTGTAGCTAGCTACTTTGTAGGAACTGTAGCTGTAGCTGTAGCTAAGCTACTTTTTTAGAAATGTAGCAGTAGTTGTAGCTAGCTACATTTTAAAAGTAGCTTCCCCAACACTGGTATTTGCTATAAAAAGTTTGTGTGGTGAATTGAATCAGAATGCTTTAATACAGGCTTGTTATGGACTATTTCATAGCCATTGAAGGTGTGGTTTGGTTGTTTTGGGATCTACTCCTCATGCAAATAAAGTTTTTATTATGAAAAAAAGTTCTTAAAGTCATTGCTGGTGTAAATATGTGTCATAGCTGTAAAAATCTATTCAAGGAGTTTAAAATATTGACTTTGTTTTCTTTATTTATACAACAATGTCTACTTTACATGAGAGCCAATATTTACCAATTAGACTGTAGAAAATATGTGCACAGTTATAATACTCGTTTTTGAAATAACATAAATTTCCTGAAAGTAAGGCTTGTTAAGACAGATAAAAGACCAATGATGATTCCTATTAAGTTGTACAACAAGTTACCATTAGACATAAGATTGTTTATTTATAAGGATTTTAAAATTAAATTAAATTATTTTCTATGTAAAGGATCCTTTTATTCTATAGAAGAGTATATGTCAAGACAATGGACTGTTAAGGATTTCTGTTGAATATAATTTATTAAATTGACGTTCCAATGTATTTGCATGAAATATTTTCTGGCTAAATAAAGTTCTTATTCTTATTCATTTGAAGTTACATTATTCTTATTATTTAGTTTAATTAAACATGACAATATGTGCTTACTCAATAACAATTTACCTGGTTTGTTTAGGTGTTACCCATGTTTTGTAAAAAGCCTTCTGTGAAAGTTACCCATAGATATAAAATTAAAGCCTCAAGTCCCTTATTACACTTTTGGATTGTCCAGTTGAGTCTTGGATCATCATGCCTCGGTGGCAATTTCATCATTATTACTTTAGGCCCGTTTAGATTCTTGAGATATTTTAGTCTTTGCCTCACTTTGCTAGATATAGTTTAATGGTCCTAGATCAGGCCATTGTGGAACTTCACTTAACGAGTAAAACGGGGTAACTTGAGACATTTTTCTATTTAAAAGAAACCCCTACCAAATAATTGTATAGGGAAATCTGCAAAAACTAGAATAAAACATTAGTTACCCTGGTTACTATGGTTTCTACATTTAATAATTGGTGTAAATATAGAAATTTTATTTATTTATTTATTTTTATTAGTGTCTCAAGTTACCCATATAAATGGGGTAACTTGAGACACAGATGTTAAACAACAGTTGTCTCAAATTAGATAATGCAATGGTAACTTGAGACATAATAAAATATCTAGGAAAACAAAGGAATACACATATGGACTTACAAACTTGAAAAAAATGTATTTAAAAAAGAGGAAACATTTTTTTCACAATTTCAGACATAACTTAGTAAATTTCGTTCAATTCTGGCACAGAAAAAAAAACCCCTCTTATTGAGCATTTTAGGGGGGTTAATACCACCAAAAATATCTTCCCAATGATAGTCAAGTTCATCCCTTTTTCCGGCCATTTCCAGTTATCCTTGAGAGTCCGCTTCATAGCACTGACTGTAGCAACTTCTTCGTCAAATCGTTCAATCACCCCAGGGTAAAACTTGCCTTCGTAGCTTATAATTATAAAAGACCCAACTTGCTTGTTTATTTCCTGAAGTTTGGGCTGAAGTGTTTCAATCTTTATCTCTTCTTTCTTATTTATATTATTTTCTTATTTCTCGACATCAGAACAGCTGGCGTTGAGAATTTTTCTTCTAAAGTCATCGAAGTCATCATTTGAACTGTCCTCACATAAATCTGCATCACTCCAAATTTCTTCTTCACTCTCTTCACTAACAACATTTCTATGCTGCTTCCTCTTCAAAGTAGAAGTTCTATTTACAGCTTCAGAAGGATTTTCATTCAGTTTCATATTCTTTCCCTTCTGTTTTGAGATGGCACCAGTATCTGTAAATTCAGGGACATCTTCTTCACAGATTCCTTTACCAGCTGGAACAATCAGTTTCTTCTTTGCTTTCCTTAGGCCAGCAGTTTCTTGTTTTCTGCTTCCTTCTAAATATTCTTGAAATGTAGCAACCCAAATCATGGAATTGTCTTGGTTGGCGGCTTGGCTTTCAGAGACTGGAGTCCTTTGTGGAAGTCTCTTTAGGACTTGTTCTCGATCTAAAGGAATCAAGCCAGATCCTTCAAAGCCTTCTCAAGTTGATCTGGTGTAAAATCTTTATATTAGCGTGAGCCTACAGCCCTCTTCTGGTTACGCACCATAACTTGACCTGAAAATAATCAAACTAAGCTATTATATTGTAATATACACTTTTTATAGTATGACATTCAAAAGTGGGGTAACTTGAGACAGTTGTCTCAAGTTACCCCACCAAGGACAGAACAGGGTATTTTATTTTTTATAAATTTTAGGTTGGCAATAGCTTAGTGAGAAGATTATTATTGACAACTCAGCTTTTGAGGTTAGGTAAGTAATAACAATCATTGAATTCCTAATAATAGACTTGATGCTACAAGGTAAGTTAAACAGCCTATAATTTTAGAACATCTGTAACTCAAAATAAATAAATAAATAAAGTATCTTACCTTGAATATAACAAGATGTCTTAATATGCAGTAGTTAAGGGATCAACTTCCATGACATGTTCACACTAAAGAAACTCCCAATAACTCATCAGGTATGCCAACAAAAAAATGTAAAAAAAATCTGCAAATTGTCTCAAGTTATCACACTGTCTCAAGTTACCCCGTTTTACAAAATATAACAGTTTTTTGTTACCAGTCTAAAGTTTATTAATGTTTGCTTTTAGGTAGAAGCCACCAAGTGCCAAGTAAAGATGACCAAGTCACTGGCAATGACAGTCAACTGGTTTCTCTTCTGCCATCATTCTAGCATTCTCCTGTTGTCTTCTGGTAACCTCGGCAACACAGTGCAACCAATCTTCATCAAGCAAGGGAATCTCCACAAGTTGCCACGTTTTGAAGGTGAAATTGATAGAATAGTACGGTTTAAGCGTTGAATTTAGGTACTGCAAGTACACTTCTAATCTTACTATAAAAATCCAAAGCCTGTTTTGTTACACGATCCTTTCTCTTTACTTGTAGGTTATCTTAATAAATTTAAATTACTATGCCAAATAAGAGGACCCATTTGTAAACTCCTGCTTTCCCCCAGGTTTCATAACTAAAAAACAGAGTGAAGCATTCACTGTAAAATTTACTTCTTTTTACATTGTCTTGCCAAGTAAAACAACCATGATAAAGAAAAATGAAGCCGATGTTGCCATGATCACAACCGTTGCTCACGGGTGTTGCTGAAATTCCTTTTCCAATGTTTTGGTGCTTTCGAGTTTGGTTTAGACACATCACCCATGGTATTAAACAATAATAAAACACACTAAGAAACTATTTATGATCACCATGGCCACAATTCACCTGATGCCCAAGTCCATAGCAGTACCGTCAGACTGTGCCACTAATAGACTCCTGCTCTGTTGATACCAAAGTACCAGTAATGACATCATAACTTTGATTCTCGATACTGGTATTTTTTCAAAGACTGCTGGTACCGAGAATGAAATTCAGGTACTAACACTATAAATAAATATAAATTTGTTTCAGTTTATGACGATTTGCCTTAGCTAAATTTATCATCACTGGTTAACATCCATACCCACCAAAATCCATTACTTGTATGACTTTTTTACCTTCTAGATGGCTGACTTGAATGGTAGCTGTGTTGTTCGCTCTTGAGTTTGTTTTGTGTATCTGTGTTTTCAATCACTTGCTTGGGGTCAAATTATTCTAGGTCTGGTTCGACTTATTTAGTGAGCTGTATGTGGTGTTCTATCTCACCATCTCACTTAATTACAATACCAGAATCTTTTTCCCACAGCCTTCTAGATCGCTCTTCACTGCTCCTTATACTACTATATTCAATACACCCTCTCAAGTATTCTTGTTTTCCCCTTCTCTGATCATTTCATCTGGAGTGGATCAAGTAGCCTCAGACTGAATAATACTTCGGAGTAAGATTTATATTGTAAAATCATGGAAAAGACGATTTGCATACTTGTTATAAATAATTTCTGAGCTCTGATGATGGACTTAAATATGATGAGCGTTGTGAACGTGATCGATTGTTTCGCCGTACCTTGCAACAAAATATCTATCGACAATGACAGCAAGTGGCATTGCACTCGTGTGGATTGTAAATCCTCGCCACCTACACCTGATTTAAGTACGAATCCTTCTAACTTGTCTCAAAAGATGGATGATCTTAATGCTAAATTTGATCGTCTTAATGATCTGCCTGAAAACATTAAATAAATCCATACAAGATTATGTTAAATCATTTCATGACCAATTTGAGCTTCTTGGAGGCACTGGTAACTCTTTATATCTCTATCTAGTCAGACCCATACTTGAGTTTTCTTCCACAGTGTGGAACCTGTACCTGTTTCGTCAAATCACCAGGCTGGAAAACACTCAAAGCCGTTATGTTCGTCTGGTTGGTCTGTGTTTGGGGATGCAATACCGTGCTGTTTGTGTTCAAGATCTGCAACACTAGTTGAACCTGTTGCCCTTTTGTACTAGACGAGAAGTCAATGATATCATGTTCTTGAAGAAGTTGATCACATCCACCATCGATGCTTCTGACCTGCTCGTGAAGCTAGACCGTACTTCACGTAACCTTCACCATTCTCAGCTGTTTGAGAGGCGGCAGTACACTACCCAGTAGGCTACATGGTGCATTTTCTCATCCAACAACCTACCTGGACATCTGGATCTATTCACCATGAATCCCTTCAAAACAAAACTTTTGAATTGCGTTCCATACTGAGTAAATTATATTTTTTTGTTAAATTGTTCATATGCTTTCCTATGTCGTATTATTATTTTTAAACAAAATGCTTGGCCACCATTATCATCCTAATTTATATTCAATTCCTTCATTTCTTTTGCCTGTCTACATACTACCCTACTATTGTTATATCTGTTTCCCATTTATATTGCATTTACTATATTTTGCACATTTTTATATTTTTATATGGTTGTATTATTGTATTTATTTTTTTTTATATCTGCCCTAAAGTTCGCTGCAATTAAATGCACTCTGACTTTTTCTTTTATAACTGATTTAGGCCTAATGTGTTTTGTCATTATATATATGCTTGGTTGTTTGCCCGTTGAGATGAAAAAATAAAATAAATGCACAGTGATAAGTTTGCTGTGGCTTTTTACAATGTGGACATATCCATTTTCACAGTTGAGATGTCTGGGGTACCGAGATCTCAGAAGTTAGTGGTAGAGGAGAGAGATGCAGTTGTTGGAATTGTCTACGGTCAACCTAGAGTACTAGTTCTCCGTCATCAGTCCACTTCCAACCATCAAGGCGCTCAAGTTTTCATCTATACTATTAAAAAGTAAGTGCCTTCTTTTATGTCTCTTTCCTCAGTATGCACATCAGTCTAGGAGGATTTCAATCCACTAAACTTTAATTGGGTTCAATTTGGTTTGTTGTCCACAATTTTCACGGATCACATTAAAATAGAGATTCTAACCTGGAAGTATGATAAAATAGCGGCAATTTCTACTTTTGGATGGTAATTCATTTGTTTATGATCATGGTAGGTTTGCTGTTTTTACTAGGGATCTGCAGGCCAAACCTTTTTACATTGGATCAAGTAAACAATTTTAGACCTTGGGTTTCAGGCCAGATTTGGGTCAGATTAGGCCAAAATCAGGTTGTTTTGGAAAGTATTGATTTAAAGAAAAAAATTAATTTTACTACCACGATTGGCTTTAACATAATATTGAACATCTCCCCATGCCACAGTGAAATCGTGAACATCTTTCATAGTCATTGCGATCGTGAACATCCTACGTGGTTATATCAAAATCAATAACATCTTCTATTGTCATGCCGAAATTGTTAACATTTTCCCCAGTTTACAGGAAAATCAAGAACATCTTCCACGGTCATTGTCTCCCACAATCGTGGAAACTGTGTACATACATGCACAAGCCCACATGATGAAACATTTCAAATGTCTTATAGTTTGTTATAATTAAAATATTGGGTGATAAAAAGTGTCATTACTTTGTTATTTTCCAACAGATTTTGTTGATTAAGGTGTCATTAGATCCTTCTTTAAATTCAAAAATTTTTATTACAATTCTATTTTTTTTCTCGATAAAGTTCTTGCTTTTCGAGATATCAAAGATCTACATTTTTAAATAACCACCATTTTGAAATAGTTAGAAAATAAATAAAAAAATTGTTGTAAGTTCATTATGACATAATTTTATATTTCTGTACCAAATTTAAAGATTCTATGTTGAAGCGTTAAGAAGCTATAAATAAATTTGGAAAAAAACACATACGAGCAGATAGATGTAAAACCAGGCATAGGAGACCCATGGTTATGAGAACAATCCCACAAAAGGGGTATAGGTAGTTTGGGGACCCCCTGTTTAGTGTTTACACCAGGGTTCTCCAACCTTTATTACTCAAGGTCCACATTGACAGCTTTTGGAGGAAAGGCAATTAACATTTTGCTGTAGAAAAGTAGCCTGCCCCCCCACCCACAAATAACCCTACAAAGAAGTAGTTTTCAAATTGAGAGCTCAGCAATGAAGTTTGAACATTTCTTACTGATATTTTGTTGCTATATAACCTTTTGACTAACTAAAATTTTGTACGTTTTTGTGCGAATGGTACTGTGACCAAACAAAATAATTTAGGCTACTTACCTCGCATAATTATTTATGGGTACCTATATAAACTGTGTTTGTCATATTTATACTTTGTCATAACTTAAGTAGGGCTATGTATTCAAATTCATGAGAAAGTTTAATATCAATTAATTTTACAGTATATTTACCATGATATTATTATTTGTTCTATAATGGAAGTTTTTAAGTAGAACTGATGAAAACACGGGATGACATGACACCAAATATTTTTTATGTACTTCTAAGTTTACTTGATTGAACATTTAATTGTAATGACAATATGAATAATTGACAATGAGTTTACAAGGAGTGGTGTATAGCTCAAATTAACAGCAATTTTTAGAGAGAATTTTGTTTTTGCACTTTAAGGTCAGCCAAATCAGGGTTAAAGTTTGTTGTTCTGATCTTTAGGATTGTTTTCAATTCAATGGTTCGCTTAGCTTGGAAGATCTGTATTAAGGTAGCTCGATCACCATAAACACATGCTTACAGCTTATTTTCTCCTATTGGAAAAAACTGTGAAAGAGGTGTATTATACACACATTCCAACAGGAGATCTGGGTATCTAGCCAACCTGGGCACCGAGAATTGTACTTGAATTTGGTAAATACCAAGGACTACAATGATCACCATTCATTGAAGGCGTTCCATTGGTTCTCTTTTAACATCATAAGTAAATCACGATCACTGGAGATCATCACAGAAATTTTATTGATGCCGCAATAGATGTTCACCGTGTAGTCACGATCACGGGAGAAGATCGCGGTATCACGGAGACCGCAAAATATGCTCACGAGTGTTGCCTCGATCTCGAATGACGATCACCGAGACCGCAACATTTACTTATGGGTAAAATGTGCCCAACATGCCGTGACCTTGAGTGACGATCACGGTATCGCCAATTTGCCGTCATTGTGAATGCCAATCACTATATCACCAAGACTGTATCATTTACTTACGGCTGTTAATACAACTTTGATGATCATCTATTTATTCTAATTATATAAAAATAATGATTTCCCAGTAGGCCTTCGCGGGCAGAATAAAATCTCTTCAAAATCCGGCCCCCGGGCCATAGGTTGGAGACCCCTGGTTTACACTATGAGATAATTATTATCAATCTGTATTTTCAATTTAAAGAATATTTTCCATTTTCAGGATGTCCACTGTCAAGAAAACCCACATTTTAAACCTCGGTAGAAGTGGAAGGTTTGCCTTGAGTATTGTTGACAATCTTATTTTTGTTCATCACCAAGCCTCTAAAGTAAGTGGGTTTGTACTAACTTTCCTAGGATTAGTCAATTTGCATTTATTAGTTGCAAAGAGCTAAGGTAGATTTAGTAAAAGAAAAAAAAATTAATTCTCTTAATGACAGTTTTTTTTTCAAACACAGTTTTTTTTTACAGTGTTTTGTGAAAAAATTGAATTCCCTTAATGATTTTTGTATTTTATTTTGTTTATTGTTTTTCAATAAAAAATAATGCAATAGATTTTAAAAAGATGGAAACTGTTAATATTTAGTTTGTTGTAGCCTTTTTTTCTATTATTTAGCCTTTCCGAAGAAAGGATGATGATTTAAATGAAATAAAAATTCTTTATTATTCAGGCTAAGTTAGGGCCACATGGCCCTGAACCAAATAGGATTATTCTGTATCCTATTGCGAATCAATTAAAGCATTAATTCTGGTATGGTTATAGTAGGCCTACATAGAGAAATTTCTCTTTTTTACTATTTCAAAATAATAAAAAGGAACCGTAATGTCATTGCAATTGTGTTCAAAGAAAGCTTTGTGTTTAAAGATTAATCTGTGTCAGTCGTTTAGGAATATTGTTAAAACACAATGTGTTTGTTATGTTGGTAGACTTCACTGATGTTTGACATCGGATTGGAAGCTGAATGTGATGGGTCTGTTTACTATCACTCCCCCGTGATGCCTCCTCAACCCATACGTGGTGAAAATGCAGAACTTTGTATCCTTTTTAATATTGCACCAAAGAAGACAACATTTTTTCCTCAGGAGATTTTTTTATGGGGTTTCCTGTTAGAGATATTTTTAGTGGAGCAAAGATATTATATTGCAATACAGTCCAACCTCGGTATAACGAATCTGAAGGGACCGAACTGAATATTCGTTATATCAAGGATTTCGTTAAAACGAGGTTCATTATAGAGGTTAGGAATTTTGCTAAGTCGAGGTTCAGAACCAGTGTCAGTCAATATAGGTCAGTATTTGACCTCATTAAAACACAATTAAAGTAGCCGAGGCTACAATACTTTACAGTTTAGTGTTTACATTGTAAAGTAGAACCTCGATTATCCAGGGTACTAAAGAGAAGGGGTCTTTAATATTGCGCAATCATGACATTTCTAGTCATTGACCTTGGTACAGGTTACAAACTGTAAGTTTAAAATCGCAGCTTACTCTAACCCACCTAAAAGCTAACCAAACACTGTATTGTATAGCAATAAACCACGTAAAGAACAAAACGAAACAGTACAGAGTTTTGTAAGCAACTGCTCGTGATAGGCCGGTAGGCCACAGTACTACTTTAAATAACAACAGAGGAATGTCGATACTGTAATAATCATCAACTATAGCATTGGTGTTGCCTAAGTTTAAACAATGAAAATAATAAAAATATTAGATAAGTCGTTATAAAAGTATATAATCATAGCCAAATGAAAGATAATAAAAAATAAAAACACTCGTAAAAGGAATGTTAAGATAACGATATTGCTATTTTTCTTTCTCTTTGCTTTGTTCTTCTATTCTTTTTCTTTCTCAGGTTTCTCTTCATCCAAAAATTGTACAAGTAACCATAGTTACTTATCACCCAATCACATTTTACCAAACATTACGGCGTCATCAGTCCTCAGTGAATGAAATCAGTTCTCAGTTGTAACATAGCATGCATGCAGCGACGACAGCAGACAGGGACTGGGAAAAGGGGTGTGTAAAACAGAGCAGACAAATTTGTTGACGTCACCTTTCCATTTCATTGCTTCGGTTGCCCCCCCTTAAGACATAAGACATAAGACATTTTATTTACACAATACGTTCTTTATAAAGTACATTTCATACATAAGAACAGGTGTTTCGTCATAGTGATGTATTATATAGTAAAATTAATAGTTAAAATAATTAAAATAAACTCATGTAGGATATCAGAGAATTTTTATCTACATTATAGGGTTCTCCAAAAATTCGTCAAGTGAATAGTAGGCTTTCTCAATTATTTTATCTTTTATTTTATCTTTGAATTGAGTAGCATTTAAATTTTTAAGATACAGGGGTAATTCATTGTACAATCTAAGTCCCATATATTGAGGGCCATATATCCTTCGTACGGCCCTGAATAATAATAAAAAACAGGAGTTAAGGGGAGCTTTTCTTTCTTAGCAACAATATGGATAAAGATAGTGTGGCCTTATCACGTTCACTGCGGGCGTATCCGATCGGATACGGGCCGAGCGCTGTTCAGATGCTGCCGTAACCGATCGGATATGCTCGGCAATGCCTTTCGTATATCATCGTTTTTGCTCTAGCGTCGGTCGAAGGCAGACCTATTCCACGTTAGCGTGTAGTGGGTGACTTGCTTTTTGTTGTGTTGTAGGTTGGTAGTAAAATTTCCCCATAAAATCCCTGTCTGGCAAACTTAAAAATCAACTTGTTGTCCCGTCTTTCTCCCTCCAATTGGCAATACGATGGGACCGGCTACGTTCCAAGCAGTGCTGCTATATGTGAGTGTTTAGCGAACTACAGGACATCACTGCACGTTATTTGCTATTCGTCATACCAAAATATGAGAGCCAATCACCCGGCAATCGGGTTTGTTCGACGCTGCGGGCTGCGCCGCACTGGGGCTACGCCTGCCATTTGATGGCCCGCAGCGAACGTGTTAAAAAGACATTTTTACATCATGCAGTAATGAATCGTAGAGATTGTCAATAATAAACCGTTGGAATAAATAAATAAGTGAAAGATTGATGATTAAGATTTACTCTATATAATTACAAAATAAATTGGTGAGTCAGTGGCTCAGTTGGTAGCGTCACGGACTTTGGGCCCAAGGCAGCGATGTCGTGGGTTCGGATCCTGGTCACTGCCGTAAACATTTTATCAGTACAGTTCACCTTCGTACTGTACCGGCTCACCCCTTGCTTTGCTGGATACGTCCCACGCACAGATCTGTAGTCTATGTGGACAGGCAAATGCAAGGTTAAAAGAGGTCGCCAACCTCTTAAAAAAAATTTAAAAAATAAGTTCCCAAATCCTTCCATTGATTTATTAATCAATGTGTAATCTACCGCAACATGGACTCTTTATAACACCAGCAAAGTATTTGTGTTATATTTTATTCTAATCATTGCTATAATAAATGAATCCTTCATTTATAAACTATTTGTCCTTAACAGTTTCCTAGATTCTTCTAATTGGATTATGTTTTCTCCAAACGTAGTCATTGATGCTAAAATTGGGTGTTTATGGTAAGCATGCATTTTGTTTTTCTCAAAATTTTGACAAATATTTTAAATTAATGAAGTAAATAAAGGTCAACACAAAAAGTTATGTGCTAATCAGGGTTTTCCTAAATAAATTATGCGGTTTTAAAGGTAAATAAAAAAAGAACCGTGAAAGGCATCTTAAAAATATTTATTTTATTTAAGTTCTCATTTCAAAAAAGTTTTTTAGTGATACATTTATATATGTCCACCATTGAGTGCTCTGCAGAGATTTAATCGATGGTTGATCTCGGACCATACGCTGTGCAACATGGATCTTGTTACCAACGACACTGTTTCATAAATCCTTGTCTTGAAACCAGCAACATCACGAATCTTGGACATTGAGTTAAATCAGGACTTCTAAGGCAATACTGTCTTACGTATTCAATTGTTACCACTGATACAGGTTGTCTCCCAGACCCCTTCCGTTTTTGTACATGGTCCCATTTCTATGAACTGTTTACTCCAACGTCTGATGTTATTTCCATGAGGAGCAGCTTAGTTAAATAATCTTCTAATATTTTGAGTAATTGCAAACGTCAACGACAACAATGAAACAGCTGTTTTCCAAGACAGTGTGACAAAATTATTTGAGTAAAGAATTCAGTGATACCAAACCAACCTCATTTTTCTACCTCACCTGGTCATATTTGTATAAGTATTCGAAACTGCACCATTATTCATTTAGGAAAACCCTGTTTTTACTGATAATTGTATAATTGTTTGTCAACCTAATACAATTTCACATTAAAAGGCCAGTTTTATACTTAAGTTTCATTGATTTTAATTTGTGTATGATTCGTCATAACAACCTAAATCTGAGATTGGCAGATTCTTTAAGCAAATCCTTATTGAGTCAAATTACAATAGCTTATATAAAAAGCTAATTGATAGCTAATAAACCAGACTGTATGGATTGCAATAACTGTAAATTCGTTTAGTGATTTTGTAATTTGATTTTAGGTACCTGGAGTTAGAACTTGAACATATTAGCAAACTAGTCCACAGTAAGAGCTTTCTCATAGAGTTCTTTATGCTAAGGGCAAACTCCAAAGAATACATTTTGAGGGTAAGTTTATTGTAATTCTAAGTAAAATTATAGTAGTTTACGTAACGGTCACGTAACAATAGTCTTTAAGACACAAATAGAAAACTTGAAGTACGAGCCTTGGTGAGTGCCTTTAAAGCTGCTACCACTACTTTACCTACAAACATTTTCGATAACTAACAATCACTACTCATAATGTCTAAGAGAGGTTATGTTTTTGTTTATAACCTCTCACAGCCAGTGATTGTGATGCAACGACTCATTGTCCCAACCACTCACTCATTCATTGTATAATCAATTAAATTGGCCTTAACCGCTGATAAGTTGTCACTCAAAGTATTATAAATTTACTTCTTTTCTCTCAATCCTCAAACCTTATTGGTCCAAACTTGTACTGTAAAGTAGCAAAACAATGATGTTAAGTAAGTAAACAATACTGTTACCGGTAAGTGAATATATAAATTCTAAGAACTGATTTGAAAAGGCTAGTTTAAAATTGGTGGTATGTAAAATTAATAATGTTATCAATCTGAACTTTTGAATGAATACAAGGCATTATCTACAATGGTTTGTCTGTAAATTAAGGTCTCCAAATAGCTCCTGTCACGACCATGTGAGCTAGTTCAAATGTTACATTAGCGTTGATTTTTTTTTTATTTATATGAAAAAGAACTACTACTTCTACTACTACTACTAATATTTACTCTACACACTACTATACAATATATTACTGCTATACTATATAGTATTTACACTACTTTTTTCTCGGTTTCCATCCAAGTGTGTGAACGAAAATGATGTGAAGAAAAATTGAATCTTTCACCAAGTATCAGTTGTGTTCTGTGATTATAGATCTCTGCAGGAAGGGAATCAACCCCTATTGAAGTCCGTTGCCAGTAGAAGGATGTGTATACAGAACAGGGCAGTATTTCCAAATAAGCAGGCTAGGCACCCGTCTAGGGCGGCAAATTTTTTTTCTGATTGGATACAACAACGTTGCATTCCATGTATGGAAAACAGAATCACGTTTTGCATGTAAACGGGAAACAAAAACGTCTGTAAAAATGGTTCAAAATGTTTTAGATTTGTTGATGCAGCATGCAATTGCCTGCTGGATTTTATGGATTACTTTTCCATAAAAACAGCTGGCAGGGCATGTATTGGGGTAATCTTGGGGCTGGGGTGGTATGGTCGGTGAGCGCACTGACATGGGTGGGGGGGGGGGGGGGGCTAACTTTGCTGCCTAGAGGCGGCAGATAGTTAAATACGACCCTGATACAGGAGAGTGTCAAGACGTAAAAGATGTGCATTAGTGGTAGTTTGCAGGAGTCTGTCAACTTGCGCATAAGGATGGTAGTGCGTTTTCATTTGTTTCTATATTTCAAAACAGCGATTAAAGTTAAGGATACTTTGCTTGCTTATTGACTTGTTAAGACTACCAGGGTTTACTGTTATCGTTGGAAGTCTTGGATATGCCGCCTTTAAGTTGGACAATTCCTCGTTTACACTGTGATACAGGACAAAATGCCCTTAACTCACTGTCTCAAATTAAACTGATGAATCATCTGACACACACTGTCCAACACTTGTTAAAAATTGTGCAACATTTTTGCAACCACATCTGAGCTCAACCCCTATGTATATTTTCTACGTCTAAAAACTTTACTTCTTTCAAGTTGTTAAACTGGTAATCAACTTTAATAGCTGGGCCCTGTTTCATAAAATACTAGTCCCGTATTTACCTGTCCTTAATTTGTATTTCATAAACGTTTTTATACCGCTAGTAAATACTAGTGTATTTTACTAGTCATGTGACCAAAACTACTAATCACGTGAGACGTGACCAACTTTACAAGTGAACTCTCAACACTAATTGCTAACCTCAATCACGGGTTTTCTGACGCTTCATAAAGAGTTTTAATTTTTTTTCCATTTGATACTAAAAATAAATAGCTGTAGAAACTAATAGCTGTCTTCTTTTAATTAATAACTATATAGACATATAAGTAAAACAATCAAATATTATTTATCAAACCGCTATTATTTATGTTCATCAAATGAGCCCGCCGCCGGCATCGCCGCAAACAAACACGGTCATTGTAGTAGCCGGTTGTAGGCCTAGTTGCGGTGCTCAACAGTTGGGTGGAAGTTGATTTGTTGCTGCCGCATTCACTGTGGTTTTTATAGTTTATTTTTTACTCTGACGCATAAAATTAAGTTTATTATAAGTAAAGAAAAGAAGACTCAAATTTTGAATGTAAATAAATCGTCTAGGGACATTTTGTTTGGAACGTGTTTTCAAGTACCCTAACCTATGTTTTCAAATATTCGAATGCATAAAAATATTTGGGTTGAAAATCGTTTGGTGATTTTCTATTTTTGAGTCTACAAACCATGAATAATAAGCCTAAATGTTTATTGATGTGTCGAATAATTGCAAATCTGGTACAACAATGGAGAATTAGGTTTTCAAGTATATTAAAACATGGCCCAAACGCCATGGCAGGGCGTAGCTCAGAGGTAGAATTCTCGCCTCTCATGTCGTGGGTCCCTAGGTTAAAACCGGACTACTCAGTATTCTTTTTGTTCGATTAATTAAACTTTTATATTTTTCCCACTTAAATGACAGCGCTAATCAACATTTATTTTTTTATCACTTTGAATAACAAATTCAGGACACCTAAATGAATTAAAAGTAATGTTTTTATGATAAGCAGTTCAGTCCAATACACAAAATCAATTGTTACAGGCCTACAAAATTGTTAGTACCTCACAGGGTTTTAGCTATTTAGGGAAGCAAATAATAAGCATCTAAAAAAATACTATGTAACTCCTCTTTAAAATTTTCTTACTATAATTTCCTATTAAAATGTCTTTAAATAAAACCGAGAGCCTTGGGTGTAAAATAATCTGATTAATGTTGCAATGTTGGATACATTTTTGAAGATACAATACGGTATGCGGTTTAATATGGTTTCGCTCAAAGCCTATTTTTTCTCCGTGTTATTATAGCTTAATAGTTAATAAAACCATGAAACTTAACTAAAGTAAAAGTAAGCTTTCACACTAATTTAAAACTTATAGAATTATTCTAATTGGGTAATGTACATCCATCAATTTCACTCATTTTGTGCTTAGCCACATTTATTCATTTTAATTTGTGTCTGATAATTATCATTTAGCACTCACAAAACTATTTTTTAATCTAAAATTGCAAACGGGAGCCAATTTGCAAAAAGGAACTTAATAATTAATTTTTACAATGATGTCAGTAATGAAATATCACTCTTTTCAAAAATACTAGTCTACTACAAATAATACGGGTGAAGAGAGGTTGGTAGAAAATGGCAAGAATTTACAAGAGTAAAACTTTATGAAACACACTTGCTGCCTACACTAGTAAAAACCACTAGTAATACTAGTCCCTACACTAGTAACTAGTATTTTACATTAGTAAGTTTTTGAAACGTAGACTTGTAAAATACACTAGTATTACTAGTCCATGGACTATTAAACCATGGTTCTATGGCCTACCCACACTTTCAAGTTTCAAGGTAAGCTAGCTGCTATCCTCCTTTTTCTACCATTTAAAATCCTGGCCTAGAGCCTTTCCTTAAGGGGACTGTAAACGCCTATATTAATCAATGTTAACTTTATGCAGCATATCTTAAAAACTATACAAGATAGAGACATAATTTTTTTTTTGTACTTTTCATTAGCCTTTTATTTAGTATGCTACATGAAATTATTTACCTAGGTTAAAATTTCAATTTGTACTGGAATTTTTAAATTTAGACTTTTTTTCGATATTTTTTGTAAATAAAAAAATTATTTACAATACTGTTTTTAATGAAATTTAAAATTACCATGTAGCATACTAGCTAATCATATCAGGATACTGTCATAAAAATTTGGTAAGTCTATCTTATATAGGAGCTGAGAAAACTTACATCTAAGTTATAAAATATTCACTTTCGGAAAGAGCAATTTAATAAAAAACATACCAGTTTTCGTTAACTTGCAGGTTCCTCTTCTGTTCTCCTCTCCTCAGTAGTGTCCAGAGCTGTAGGTTGGATTGTCAGGATCTTCAGCTTCCTCATACATATCTTCCAGCCTCTTCCTCTTCAAATCTCTCAGATTTCTGATTTTTTTTTTAAGGTCTTGAGCCCTTTTTTCTGCTTCCTGAAGGCGCGACTTTTCCAGCTTTGCAACAGCCTGCACTAAGTTTTTCCCTGGCCACAGTCCAAATTTTTCCATGATTTCCACTTTGCTTCTGAATCCATCATTAAAAGCACACACTGCTGAATGCACACCATATTTCAAAGTTGGTAGAGTTACAAAAGTACGTTTAGGAATAAATGACCATATCACGTTATTCAAGGACTCGTTCGGGTTTTGAGTCTTTCCCTTCACGCACTTTTCAAGGAGTTTAACATCAGAAAGGTCTGTAAAAATAGGTCTGATTGCAGCCATTACATTTTCTGGTACATGAAAATGTTTGCTATGGTCATATTCTTCCTTTGATTTGAGGCATTTCTGAAACTTGCACCAGGTCTCAGCATCGTTGGGGCAAAGGTCATGCATGGGCTTATCATTTGATGATGCTACATGATAATACAAAGCCCAGATAGCTTTATACATAGCATCTACACTGGTTGTATTACGCCTAATAGCTAGTCCATAATAGGTTTGTAATTTTTGAATCACAGCCAGTGTAAGTTTGTTTTTGCCCGACAGCGATTGACCGTCGCTAAGTTTTTTCCTCATCTTCTTCATATTGCGGAGGCGCGTTCCCATCCGCTTTTGGACGTGTCCAATGCACTCAAGTTTGTTAATGTCTACATCTCCATAAACCTTAGCCTCACTAACTGATAAAAAGGCTTTGGAGTCCCCATCACCGAGATAGTTGACATACCAAGCACCATGTACGGATTGCAAGAAAACTAGTCCCTGGACTAGTAAATACTAGAATAGTATTTTTTATAAAACGGGCCCCTGTTGACACCTCAGTCCACAGACATCTATTTACAGAATACGATTCATACTTGGTAGGAATGTCGATTTTGTTCACATAGTATTTGGCTATTTTGAGTACACTAATCGGCCCATAGGGTTGGGAACCAGCTAGAATAGTAGTGGATGAATAAAAGTATGTGTGATGTTGGTCCTAGATTATAACTTAGCTCAATAGAAACCTTAATCGAGAACCTTTAGTTGTGAAAACCTTGTATTAGTTAGAGGGTCTCTGATTATTAATATTTTGATTTCACTCTGCAGGAACTACGAGAAGCGACGCAGAGCCTCAATCAGAATCTAGAAGAGTTAGCCTTAGTGTTTGACAAGCTGAATGCAGTGTATCGGCAAAAGTTGCTGCAGAATGTCAAGTGGCAGTTGGCCAGTCCAGTGAGTGCTGTGGACAGTCAAGTCTCTGAAAGTTCTCTAGTCACACGAGTGGTCATAGACCAGTCCGATATGTACACCAATGTACTGTCTAAGATGGCAGACTTCATAAATGAAGATAGTCCACCAAGTAAGAAACACTTAATTAATGTACCTGGTGAGAACATTTAGTGTTATAAAAGGGTCTGACTAAGCTGAGCCTGGGTTGATGAAGGCTGTATATGCTTCAACTGAACTTGCAAGAGGTCATCAGCTGGGTCAAATGAAGTATTCAAATTAAAAATAGTTAGTTTACATCTGTGCTGCAAATAAATTTTAGGTAATGTGTCTGTACATTTTTCAATTGGTATGAAGTATTAGTATTATGGATCATTGTGTATGAATTTGAACGGATGGTATTGTTGCCCTCCAGAGACCTCAAAACCAAAAAGTAAATTGGTCCCGGGTTAAGGATTTACTATGAGACTTTGTTTAATTGCTTAGTCCCAATATGGCATATTGGCTTAAAGTGATATACCACGCTAACCCCGTATAACATCGTAATCATCAATCTTGTAAACGTTTATGTGACTTGTGCAGGGAACCGTAAGTTGGCAATGTGGGTGCTTCTGGAGTATGTGAGATCACTGACGGATCATCAGATCCCAGTACAACACTATCTTCATGAGTTGGTCATCAACTCCTTGATACTCAATAAAGCCTATTACCAACTTCACCAGCTTCTGCAATATTTTGTCGTTTCTGACTCTAAGCCTCTGGTACGATATTTATTAAGTTTTCTAGATTATTTAAATTGATCTTACAGTTGTTTGTCAGACACTAAACAAACTGTTTAACTATTTTACTTCTTGTTTGCCGTGACCAACTTGAATAGACCATTTTGTTGTATTTGTACACAAGTAGTTAATTTTCGAAGTAAGGCTTCTATGGTCACAATCACTAACACTAAGTCATAGGTCTTCTGGGCATGACCATGTTGGAATACTAGGAAAATCACTAGTTGCTGACGTTTCAGCTTCGTTGCATATATAGACCAGGATCTGAAGGGGGTTGAGTATGCATGGAAAGCATACCTATTACATACATACATATTTATTTCATCGCATCCACTTCTATCATGAATCGACCAATGCAATGTTGTAGACCTAATCGACAAATAGAGAGACAAGTGTAATGCTTGTTTATTACTTGTAGCATTGTTATGCATAAAACTGAATAATGCAACTATTAACCTAGTAGTACAATTGTCAATTTTATTTCAAGACTACCAGTGATTAAATATGCTCGCTTTAAGAATCAATCATTCCCAAGATAAAAACTATTTTTCATTTTTTGTTCAAGTTCATAAAATAATCAGTATTCTCTTCTCATACTCTCCCCTAGAGAAGTATGTGTTCTGAGTTATGTTTTGCAACTTGACATCATTTATACTGTTCTTGTTAATATACAGTTGATTTGTTTCAAGTTTTATAAAAAATTTTACCTTTGACCATGGTTAGAACCAAGCAACCCACCTCCATGTCAAAGCTGTGGCCAATTTTAGAATGAAATATAATGTTGTTGAATCGAGTAAATGTATTGATGTAAATTACTGATTTTGATAATATATGGGTACGGGAGCTTTAAAAATAAAAATAAAAAACAGTTTAGTGTAAACAGAATTTATTATTTTACATCAACTATCACATTAAACACAACTGAGGGCGAAAATAGAAATTTAGACAGTAGCACAATCTGTTTGTAGATCATTCATCTCAGTTATTTTATATAAAAAAATTGGCTATACCTGGTGATTATACTCAGGTGGAGCAGTATTGTCACCCCACAAGATTAGTAATGTCACTCCTCTAATCCTCCGATACAAAAGTTATGAAATTCTCAATCAAAACCAAATCTGTCCTTTACTTAGGCTTGCTTGCTGTTGTCCCTCGAGAACCTGTACCCTCCAGCCCACCAACTAGCCTTGGACATGCTGCATAGGCTGAACACTGCCAGCCAAGAGATAACTGAGGTTCTGCTCTCCAAGCACCAAATACTGCCTGCACTTAGGTACTTGCACTAAAACAAGAATGAAATCTCAAGTCTGCATTGCCACTTAATGAGCATCCAAACACAACAATCCTCTTTCTAAAAAAAAAAAAACTAGGGGTGTGCGAGTACTCGAATCTTCAAGCTTTTTGGTCGAGCTTTTCATTATTCAGCTCGGCTGGAGGCATTATGAAAAAGCTCGAAGATTGAGCCGAGCTTTTAATACCAAGTAAAAACTAAAATAACACTTAATTTGTGCCGTACAATTGAAAACAAAGTTATCACAATTCTACGTTGTTCATGCATTCGAGGTTTGATAAGCACGAAGCTCGGCTCAGTCAAGACGCAATTATTATCGCTTGCAATTTTTTAGGAGATACGATTAAACTATCACCTATCGCATTGTCTTTTGAACACAGCTATTCAATCAATCAATCAAATCACTTTATTTGTCCTTGTACATGTCATTACAAGAAATGGCGTCAAATATAAAACTAAAAAAACAATACAATTATAAATTTAAAAAAAAAACTACCACTACTGCTTCATAATTTTGTTGTATTCATAAAATTCCTCTATTACAGGTACATGGGTTTGTTGATCAAATATATTTTCAATTTACATGTTAGTTTGTTATTGTTTTTTTCTGATCTTAGTTCATTCGGAAGTGCTTTAAAGAATTTATTGCCAATGTATGTCGTCTTTTTTTTAAAAAATTCCAATCTATGTTTTTCAAAATGTTTTTGGTTAATTTCAACATACTGATATCGGTCGGAAAGGTATGACTTAAACCAATTGTATGCAACTCCCTTGACACCAAAGTTCAATAATTTATCAAGTAATAGATGATGATTTACGCTTTCAAAAGCTTTTGTTAAATCCATAAATATGCCCACTACGTTCTCCCCTTTATCTATGGACTCTATGATGGATTCAATAAAAGAAACGGCTGCAGTGAAAACCGATTTTCCGGGCCGAAAACCGTGCTGGGACATATCTAGAATGTTTGAATTTTCTAAGAATTGGGATAATCTTCTGTACACAACTTTTTCATAAATTTTTGAAAAGGATGGCAGAATCGAAATTGGACGATAATTGGACATGTCTTTTGTAGAATCTTTTTTATGTATAGGTACAACCTTGGATATTTTTAATTTTTTTGGAAAAATGCCAGATATTAAAGAAGAGTTAACCAGATGAACTAAGATTTTACATAGGTGTATTTTTGCAGATTTTATTATAGTTACAGGAATTTCATCAAACCCATATGATTGCTTATTTTTTAAAGAATCTAATATTTTAATAATTTTGTTTTCATCTGTGGGCTCACAGCGAAAAGTCTGATTATGAGGAGAGAAACTACTTGAAAGACTATTTTTCTGTACACTAGGTTCTATATCTGGTTTTGTTTGAAGATCTTTTATACAGTTTATAAAATAATTGTTTAACAAATTACTTATAACTAAAACAGATACATTCTTATTATCTACAGTCAATTCTAGATTTTGTTTGTTTTTGGGCAGAACTCCAACCTCAGTATTTACTATTTTCCAAGTTGTTTTAATGACATTTTCTGATTCATTTATCTGCTTATTATAAAAATTGGTTTTTGAATCTTTTAACATTTTCCTATATAACTTATTTTTCTCTTTAACACATTTCTTCAATTCTTTATTTTTTGTTACTCTAGCTTCTTTTTCTAAGTCAATAATATTGTTTCTTTGCTGTTTTATTTCTTCTGTGACCCAGGATTTTTGTTTATAATTTATCCTTTTAACTTTTTTAGGAAAAGCTAAGTTAAAATGATACATAAAAATATTGAGAAACTTATCATATTTGTCCTCCACACATGAAAAATAAACTTCATTCCAGTTTTCACTTTTAAGTGATTCAAGAAATAGGTTTACATTATCTTTTGAAAAGCATCTCTTATATTTTGTTTTATTTCCACCTTCCCAATGAGGTATATCAAATAAAAAATCTAAAATTTGACCATCGTGGTCAGAGAGATAAGTGATCACACCTTCTACTTTAGTTTGTGCTTTTGAAATAGATGTAAGGAAATTATCAATACATGTTTGACTTTTTTCACTTATTCTTGTGGGAAATGTAACTAAGTGAGACATACCATGACTACTCAACATATTGCATAGTGCTTTACAATCTTTTTCGTTATTAATAATATTTATATTTAGATCCCCAGCAATTATGAGATTACTACAAATAGGAAGTAGATTCATTATTAACTCGTTTAAAAGCTCTATAAATTCAAAAGGATTTGTGCTCGGGGAGCGATATATGCCTACTAGTACAAACATATTTTTATTAACTATGAATTTCACAGCACAAAACTCAAATTTTTTATCTACTCCTAGATTATGAATTTTGATTTCTACCACCTGCTTCCACTTAATAGATTTACTAGACAAAATAACGACACCTCCTTTTGTGGTGGTCTCTCTACAATAATAAGAATTGACACTAAAATTTTTTATATTAAGTCTGGCCATTTCATCATTTTTTAAATTATGTTCAGTTAATACTACGATATGGGGTTTTATTTCATCTAAAACTATTTCCAGCGAGTCAATCCGTGAAATTAAATTTTCAATATTCTGATGAAATATTCTTATATTTGAAATATTTTTACTTTTATTTTTTGAAGTTGATGGGAATTGACCTAAGTTGGAGTTTTTTCCATTTCTCCAAAACCGTTTAAAGAAGCAGGAGGTATGACATTATCGTTTTCCTTACAACTATCACTCTTTCCACTATTTTCTTCATCTTCCGTGTTATCACCTCTAGACACATTCAGCACTTCATCACTAGACACAGGGGTTGATCGGGTCGACAGCGGTGGATATTCCTCCATAGACATCAGGTTGGTTGTTATTGTGGAGTCAGGCTGATGAGGAGCTCCTATACTGGCTTCCATGGAGAGCTGTGAGGCTACACCAGAGTCACTGGAACCAAGGGATGTCGGAGTCATGCTGTCCTCTCTAGTCAGGGGTGTAGCTGTTGTTAGGCTACTTGTCGCATCTGCCAGTTGAACATTTAGCAATGGGTCTTTGTGTTCATGGAAACTACTTTTTGAGTAGTATTCACTATAAAGCTTATTTACCAAAATCCTGTTAATGTAATTAATAAATGTAGTGTGTGAAAGTCCATTACGGAGGTTTTTCTTGGAGGTATCATCATAGGTCACAACAAGAACATCTGCTCCAGTGTATGATTTAAACTTTAATATATTTTCTACGAATTGGATTGGATGCACTCGGTCCCTAAGGCAACCCATGGCGGGACAGACTAGCATTCCCAGATTACGAGCTTTAAAATCTTTCATCAGATTAGTGAAAGCCATATCGTATGTATCCTTATAGTCTGAGAAATTGTTAGCATTTAGGTAGTATAGAGGTTTAGTCACCAGGCCATATACACTTGCTCCAGATGTTGTTTTCTGATAGGTTAAATGATCACTGCAATAATCTGTGCTTTTTGGCTTCCCAAATTTATCTCTAAATCTTGTTGCTACTCCTTGGGACATTTGCTTACTACTGTCCAGGTCGGCTGAGATGCAGTGTGCAAAAGCCACCTGCGCATCATTGCGGTACTGCTCTATGACCTCACTCATGTCTGCCACCTCTATGATCTGTACTGTTTTATGTGCAGAGACAATGGTTCTTCGCTTGTTAAATTCAAGGTTCAAGACATAATCTGCAATTCTGCGACTTAAAACTTGTTTACCTAGTTCAGGTGTTGGCCGTGCAAAGTAAAAAACCCCCTTTTGAAATCGCTTATATTAATCATATTGATATTTTGCTGTTTCAATTTATAATTTAATCTGTATATTTTTTTGTTGATTATATTATCCCATGCAAGGTCATGGCGATGTACTTGGGACACAAAGACAACATTGGTGTGTTCATTTGCTGACTTGAGATTCTTGTATAATTCAGGTTCATTCGTAATCTACAACGCAGTGCGAGATGTGTGATTGGCTCGTCGCTATGATGACACACAGTTGCTGTGACAACCTACAGTGCGCACTGAGCACGGGGGGGGGGGGGGGTTTATGGGGTAAAAATGGGTTTTTTCCATTTTTGACCCTAAAAACAAAAGAATTTTGCAATTTATTTCTAAACCATTTTGTAGAGCTTAAAAAAAGAAATAATTTAGTATAATGAAGTGCTGTTGTATGCCTAACTATTACTGAGAAAAAAAAAGTGTAATTTAAAATTCCCATGTTATTTTTAAAAATTCTTATGGAGACAATGAAAACTGTTGTAGTTTACTTGTTTATGGATATAAGTTGATAAAATTTGGCAAATTTATTTATTTAATCACATACTATTGAAGTATGGTCAAAAACACTTTTTACCTTCCCCGTTGCAGTAAACCTAAGCACTTGTTAAATCTAGTTATTTAAATTGGGAATATGGGGAATATTTGGGGAATGTCTTATTTATGGAAATATTTTAGTAAAAAGGTCAGACAAGTTGAAATTTGCTTAGTCTGCAGGTTTGCTGCAGCGGGGGTATTTATTTCTGTTGTTAGATTTTCATTTAGCCTATCTTTAATATGGTAGTTTTTAATGTTTTTAGAAAGGTTTAAACTTAAATTGGCTAGTTGGAATGTATCATTGCTGCATACATTTTTTCTTTGCTTTAAAAACACCCCATTAAACCTCAAAAATACTTAATGGAAGGACATAAAGACAAGGGTTGATGTAGTATAACCAATCCATTCAGAAAATTTGGTAAAACAATACAAAAATGGTATTGGTATCGAGAATAGATTTTTCAGGTATCGGTATAGAGAATCTATAAATTTTGGTATCGGCACATCACTCATTTTTATACCATGAAAAGAGGTGAAAAGTATGAGCCTTATGAAAGCAGATAACCCTACTCAGTAGCTTGTGGGGAGCAGTCAAATATTACTGTATTTTACTTGTTCACATAGTTGGGACTTTGTAAGCCTGGCCCCGAAAAGGTCAGTTATGACAGGGTGTACTGTAATAATTAATAATTATAATATAAATTACATTAAAAGTTAACAATGTTTGTTTTGTTATTCAGGTACGCCATAGAATCTGAAAACGAAGACCAGCTGTCAGGGCGTAAGTTTCTCGAGTTAGCTCAAGCGACTGAAGACAAACTAGTGTTTTACGCTGTTTCTACTTACTTTGAGGCTAAACGTGCCTCAGTCAACGGTTCTGTCCCTTCACTGAGATGAAGGTTGAATGTAACATGCGGTACATCTTAATTCAACATTCTTAATTTGTGTTATTTTCACGATCGGAAGTAAATTATTTTTGTTAAAATACTATTTTATGTATTAATTAATTGACTTAGTTTTATCAAGACTCCATGGCATTATGTCCTATTATAATATTATTATAATAAATATAATAATAATATACAATAATAATAATAATAATAATATAATATAATAATATTATTATTGAAAAAAATCCATATAATTCCTTAAAATGATTTTCCGTTTTTAGTTCTAAAAAACCATTTAGAAACAATAAAATCAAATAATTTATTTATCCATTAAATAAATTAATAAAAATTATAAATTAATAAATAATAATAAATATTATAATAATTATAATAAATTAATAAATAAATTGCCTGATAACAATCAGGCAATAGGCCAAGTCAAGACAATAGAATTATACGTTACTGAACATGTTTAACAATGCTATAAACACTTCTACACAGAATAACAAGGGTTGTCCAACAAACACAATTTAATCTTCTGCTGGAACGGTTTTTCTGTTAGCGTTTTCAGGCTTTCTGATTGGCTAATAAACATATAAGTCTATAAACTGGGTATTTGAGCTACTTCTAGTTGCATGATTTCTTGATCCCACAGTTTCAATACCACTTATATTTGCCTTAATACTACAGAGACGTTTCAGATTATACAAATTTATAACTGTGAGGATCTAAAATACATGGTCCAGTGCCAATGAAAATAGCTATATTAGCCATTTTCAATAGGAACACTATTTTTAGGTTGTGCAGTTTTAGGCAGTCAGAGGCCAGCTTTAGTGGTGGTGACTTTTTTCAAGCGCTCTTAAACCAGCACCATTTACAAAAAACCTGTTTTTTTTTACTTTCATTGATAGCAGTTTTACTTTATGTATAATTTTATAAAAGTTTTCATAAACGTTGTGACACACATTGAGTAAATTTGAAAATAAAATAATTTGACTGTGAAAGACAGCTAATGATTCCACGTTGTTTATATAAAAGTTGTGGCCAATTGAGCACAAAGGTATGAATAATTATTACTTTTAGGGGTTTAACAAAAACTGTAATCCCTCTAGTGGTTTTCCATGCATATAATTTATTATTTGGTATCTTTTAGAAAAAATATTTCCATTCTAGTCCTTATCCTTTCTCTTAATACATTTGATATTGTTATTAAGAATATTTTTTTTATTATAATGTTATCGCTAGATTGTTAAATATATAAATATTGCATATTTTATGTAATTAAAGTATTTGTATATCAAAGATTGTTTATTTACTAACTCATCATGTTCATTTCCCATTTTAAGGACTTGAGACATATTTTAGTTACAAATTAATTGAAAGGTGTTTATTAAACAAGTGTTACTCAGACATACAAATTCTGCTAAGAATAACTCTTGTCTTATTACAATACATCATCAAATAGCAAAATTGTAACTGTTACAACACAATACTTAACCATATTAAAAAGGTTTCAACATCCGTTCAATTGCAGCTTCGCTATTTGCATTGTTATTGCTTATTAAAAGTATCTCAAGATTTAATTCAAAATAATTCAATGCCAATATATAATACAAACAACTCCAACATTTTGTGTTGAGGAAGACTAAGCATATAAATTCAAATTCATATGTTTGGCATGCTTTAGGGGGCTTTTTTCTTCAAATTAAATACACCCGCCACAGCAAGCAAACCTGCAGACTAAGCAAATTTCCATCCTGATTGGATTTTCACTTAAATTTGTAAGATTATTCCCTATTTAAATAACATTAAGTTTAACTAGTACTTTGGCTTGCTGCTACAGGGAAGGTAAAGAAGTGTTTTTGTGAAATAATAATAGCTTAGGATGAAATAAAGCAATTTGCCAAATATACCCATAAACAAGCAAAATACAACTTTTTATCAATCGATCAAAGTAACTTTATTCATATTGCACATTGTGTGTCATTGTAATAACTAAAACAACTGTATTAAACCTAAGACTCCTTTACAGAGAATATTGTTATTATCAATAAATCAAATTTCAGGAAGTTGGAAAAAAATCTTCTAATTTATACATGAATCTGTTAGTGAGAAATAATTTTAACATTTTTTAAATTAATTAAAATTAGTTATATTTTTTATATTTCCAGGTAAGCTGTTGAAATATTTAACACCACTATCAGGTATAAGATGGGATTTTCTCGTAAACTGATAAATTTAAATTATGTTTGTTGAACGCCAATTCACCCCTTCACTACCTCTCTACTTTCAATTCACTACCTTTTCTGGTCAAATACTTATGAAAAGAGTTCAATTTTAGTATTCTTCCATGATTTAATTTAATATAAAGGAGTATTTGATAAATGTATAAGCTAAAAACAGTCACAATTTTTAAAGTGCTCTTAAGCGTGTTCTTTTGATTTCAGTTTTACTTTTAACATAATGCGAACTGTTTTTTTTCTGAAACTCCAGAATGCTATTTAGATTAAAAGATGTGCCCCCATAAAGACACAAACCAAAAGAATGTGTGATTCAATTAAGGAATAATATACTATTTTTAAGGTTTTTAAACTACTAACTTTTGACATCTGTTTTAAAATATGGCATATGGCTTAAAAAGTGACATTTTTTAAAACGATTTCAACATGACTGTCCCTGTTGAATTTATCATCTTTATGTAATCCAAGAAATTTTATTGTTTTAACTTCATTTAGTATAATTGTATCCATAAAAATACTAAACTCAGCTGCATTTTTGCTAGTTGAAGAAAAATTGTATAATTAGTTTTTATTGGATTCGGTAGTAAATTTATTTCATCATTGGATACATTTGGAAAGCTAAACAAAAGAAGAGACTTCCACATCAGAATTTGAATTAGGATATTTTTATATTGATATCATCAGCAAATAAACAATCAAGATTAGGAGATTCTATCAATGAGGGAAAGTCAGTCAAGTAAATTAAGAGTAATATAGGGGCCCCAATATTGATCCTTGAGGGACACCATACTTAATAAGGAAGTGTAAGTAATTAATTGGTTATGGCTATTCATGTGATCAATTGGGACATACTGCTGCTTGCCTGTAAGATAAGATTAGTTACATTTAAGTTTTTTCAAGAAGTAAATCATGTGAGATGCTATCAAAGGCTTTTGTTAAGTCCAAGAATAATCCAACTACCTTTTCCTGTGAATCAATTGAATTAATTATAGATTCACAGAAATCAACTCCTGTGTCAATCACAGATCTTCCTTCTCTAAAACCATATTGTTCTTAATTTATTAAATTATTTTCCTCTAAGAAATTTTAAAGTTGTATATGCATAAATTGCTCAAAAGTTTTGGAAAATTAGCATAACAATGAGTGAGGCCTGTAATTACACATTTCCTCTGGGTTGCCATTTTTATAACCAGGTTTAATTTTATATTTTTTTAGAATTTTTTGGGGAAAATTTGTTGAAATTATAGAAAAGTTCATAACATGTAGTAATAGTAATAATAAATATAATTGAGCCTGTTTAATTATTGGCATTGGTATTTCATCCCAGCCAGTAGAACATTTATTATCAAAAGAAGTTATAATAATATCCAGCTCTTCATACGTTTACTTATTCTCCATAAAAATAAAATGGGAATTAATTTTTTTTTCTGTAACCAATTACTGTTTTTTCAACAATTTTTAAAGTCCCTTGTTAGTAGTACCATGGACTAAGGAACCAATTACTACAATCATGTTATCCAACCTTTACATACTGATAGTAATTTTGAAGCGATTTACGTATATTTATGTTGCAAATACTGTAGTCATATCCAAAATAAATTATAATTTGACCTATTTTTGTCTTTTGATATTTAATATTGTGTAGAAAAAGCAGATGGAGCCTTTTTTGTTTACATGACCTAATGTTGCAAGTGTGTTGTTTCAATGTGTATAGTGTAAGAGAATAAATCCACAAATTATTGATCAAATTCCACTCTTTATGCCTTGCTCACTACAACAGGAAGAGTAGTAGTCTGGTGATGTTGCCCAAATTTACTAATTTGGCTGACACCCTGAAATTGGTAATGTTAGATGAAAATAGACCCTGAAAATACAATAGGCAAGCTGTGCACTGCAACATCATTGAGTGGTAATAGTATGTTTAGTCTGTCTCTTTAAGCTGTGGTTGTACTACATTGATTTTGATAATAATTCAGTATGTTATCGTCCTTTTAGTCTAAACAAAACAGTACCCCCATTGCTGAAAAATTAGGGTTCAAAAGTTATTGCAGTTTTTGTGATTTTACCCTAAAAATATAGTTTTTCCCGCCACTTGCCCATATGACATGGGTAGTTTAGTTGACAAGCTACTAGGAAAAGTATGTGTCAGATTGCTGATACCTGTTATTTATTTCCTTAATTGCAGCTTTAATTTTTGCCTGTGAATATTTTTTTGTCCCAATTGGTCAGCATCTCTAATCGCCAATACCTTCTTCCATCTTTACCTGTCTATTAAGAATTTCTTTACATAATTCCTTCCATCGTATGATTTGCTGCCTTTTACTATGTCTCAAAATTTCTTGTTTTTGATTGGTTTTTTGGTTGTGAATTTCCTTTTAGCCAATGTTTTGGTTATTTTACATAGTTGATATTTTTAGTTCTCTGGCATCTCCCTGGCCAGCGCAAATACGCTTCAAAAAATAAAATAATTGTGTTTTTGGTCTCTGCATCATAATAATAAGTAAATATCGGTCCCGGGTCTAGGTCTTGCCGTTCCACCTACGGAAATACCTTCTTCTTAAGGGAAATTCGCTTCCGTCATTGGAGGGGTTTGTGTTCTGAAAACATACATGGTTTATCTATTCATGAACATTGTTAAGGCCAAAAGAACTGTGGAATTATACACATTTTATTGAACCAATAATCCAGTTCATTCGAAATTGATGATTCCAAATATTTAATAGTTAAATTTATATTAAATTAAATTTATTATTAAATTTAAGTTTTTAAAACTTATGTTGAAGTTGCTTCTAGAATGTTATAATTTTTTTTCCAACATTTCTGGAAGTGGATTAACTCCTCCCGGTTTTCAAGCGAAGTTAATCATTGATTAGGCTACACTAATCTTAATTAGCCCTCAAAAGGTGACCAATAAAAAGTGGGGTTTAAAAACAACTATTTACAACATATACTAACTTTATACAACAATAAAAAAATCAAGTACATAATGAAAAACAGAG